GGGCGGGCCGACGGGCCGCTTCTGGATCATGGACCCGATTGACGGCACCGCCTCATTTATCCAGGGACGGCAGTACGCCGTCGCGCTCGCCCTGGTCCAGGACGGGCGCGAGGTCGTCGGCGTCCTGGCGTGTCCGAGCCTGCTCGGCGTGGCCCCCGACGGCGGCATCTACGAGGACGTGGTCGACGCCGACGGCCTGGGCGTGCTGCTGACCGCCGTCCAGGGGCAGGGCGCCACGCTCCGGCGCTTCCCCTCGCTCGCCGGCGCCTCGCTCGCCACCTCGCCCGCGACACCGCTACCCCCTCTGCCGGCGGTACCCGACCTGGCCGCCCTGCGCTTCGTCGACTGCCAGCGGTCCGCGTCGACCAACCACGGGCTCGTGCGGAGCATGGCGCACCGGCTCGGCGCGCCGTACCCCGGGCTGGATATCTGGGCGAGCCACGTGCGGTACGCGGCGCTGGTGCTGGGCGCGGCCGACGCGTGGGTGCGCGTCGGCGCGCGCGACACCAGCGTCTTCTGGGTCTGGGATAACGCCGGCGCGCAGCTGCTGTTTACGGAGCGCGGGGGCAGGATCACCGACGTGGATGGTCGGCGGATCGACTTTGGCGCCGGACGGCGCTTGGATGCGAATCGGGGCATGGTTGCGGCGCGCGCCGACGTGCATGACGTGCTGCTGAGGATGGCGAATGAGCTGCTGGCCGCGGATGCAAAAGTGTAGTGGGAGACACAAGGGTAAGTTTGGCCTGGGGTGAGAATTGGGAGGAGATGATGATAGAACGGAGGTTGTTTTAATGAGAACATGAATCATGTCTAGCTGCTACCTCCTGCGATGCAAAAATTGATAAAACCGACCACAATTTATATACCTATACATTTACCCCCTTGGCCTACTCTTACATGAGACTGCTGCGGCCTCCAATCTCCGTGCTTCCCTGCCCGTCCTTCATCTTGCCGTTGCGGCCTGCCACAAACTCGTAGTAGATACGCTCTAGGCGGGTCCTCTCGTCCTTGCTGATGCTCGCGCGCGTGTTGCTGAGCGCCTTGACGAGGTGCTCCCAGCCAATGACGACCTCCTTCTGGTCTGTCGGTGACTTTTCGCCATCGCCATTGGCATGGCCGGCCGCGTTCGCAACGCCAGCCGAGCCCTTGTGCACCTGCTTTTCCCGGCGGCGCGCCTGCTTGATCTGGTCCAGCTTGGACGTTATGGCGGCCTGCTCCACGAGGGCGGCCGACCGGCTCTGCGCCGCAGGCTTGGCAGCGGCGGACTGGTCGGCGTCGGCGCCGTAGCGGAACTGCACGAAGCTGGGGGCCGAGCCGCGCTTAATGGCTCCGTTCGGTCCCCCGCTCTTGCTGCGTCCGGCGGTGGCGGTTGATGCGCCGCCGCCGTTGACGTCGAGGACGTCGTGGATGGCCTCGAGCTGCGAGTTGGACACGAGCGCCTGCAGATCGGCGCCGGAGAAGCCTTCGGTGCGACGGGCCATCTCCTTCCATGCATCCTCCGACTCGGCGAGCTCGTCGGAGAGGCGGACCTTTTCAAACAGCGCCCTGAGAATGTCGAGACGGTCCTCGGCGGCGGGCATGTCGCATAGTAGAGATTTATCTAAGCGGCCGGGTCGGAGCAGGGCCGGGTCGATGAGATCAGGGCGCGACGTCGCGGCGAGCACGTACACGCCGGAAAGGCCCTCGGCACCATCCATTTGCGTGAGTAGCTGGTTGACTACTCTGTCCGTAACACCAGTCGAGTCGTGGCCACGCTTGGGGGCAATCGAGTCAAACTCGTCAAAGAAGAGCACACACGGCCGCGCCGCCTGGGCGCGATCAAACAGATCACGCACGCTCTTCTCCGAGGCACCGATATACTTGTTCAGAATCTCGGGTCCCTTGACACTGATAAAGTTGAGCCCGCATTCACCGGCCACGGCGCTGGCGAGCAGTGTTTTGCCGCAGCCGGGGAAGCCGTAGAGAAGCAGACCAGATCGAAGTCGCAAAGGACATTGTGAGAAGATGGGAGCGTATTTGGTAGGGTATTGTAGCGTCTCCAGCAGGACCTTGCGTGTTTCCTGAAGGCCGCCAATGGATTTGAATGTAGTCGTGGAGCTCTGGAGCGAGACATTTCGCAGGGAGGCGGGCGTGAAGCCCTTTAGAGCCTTGTCAAAGTCGGCGCGACTGAGATGAATGGCATCCCCCGAAGTATCATTAGGAGACTCGCTGAGAGCGCGGATGATGGCCTCATTTCTGGCACGAGAAATGACGACGGTCAAATCGCCAGGCATGTACCCGTCTGTCTCGCCAGCGATATCGAGAAAGTCAAGATCTGAATCTAGGATGAACCCGCTGTTGGCCGATTGTGAGACGGTAGCAGGAGGCTGATCGGCCCCATGCAGCCAGTCTCCATTCTCCTCAATATTGCTACCATCGGCGGTTGTCGGTCGGCTATTGCTGGCAGAGTCCTCCGTGTCGTCTGCCGCTACCGCATTTTGCTTGGCAATGGTTTCCATCACCCTTCTGCGCGCTTCCTTATCTGGCGCCTTGAGCTCCACAATCTCGCGCACGACGTGGCCGCTGACGACGACGCTGTTGAGAGAGTCTTTGCCTTCTGCCGTGGCTAAGAGAACAATGTTGCTGTCGCGTGTGCAGTATTGTCGTACAATCGACCGTATTGCTTCGCTGATTTGGCGACTCCGTCCGTTATCGTTGCCGACTTGGAGTTCCGTCTCGACGGGGCAGAGCTTGTCGAGATCGTCGAGAATCACGACACCCTTGCCCCCTAGACGAGATCCCCAGCTGGCAGACATGAATAGGCGCTCTACTGTCTCTCGGATGGTCGACACTCTCGTCTCGTCTGTGACAAGCTTTCGGCAGGAAAAGTAGATTGTGTAGAATAGGGTGTCTTTGCGCAGCTTTTCCGCCATGTGTCTTGCCACTGCAGTTTTACCAGATCCCATTGTTCCAGTCAACAAGACGGAAGAAAGGTGCGACAAGTGGCCCTCCAGGTTTGTCAGCAAATTGTCGATGCCGACAAGCACCGAATCATGTTTAGGTTGAAGTTCAAATTCGTCAGACTCAAGAATCCAAGAAGGTCGCGGTACCGGAGGCTGAAAGTCAACCTGCAGCTTGTAATCCATGCCGGCAAGCCAACTCGTAGAGTCCTTGTTCTGCTCGTGGTCGGCGCCATATTCGAATCGAACAATACCACCCTCCCAGCCCTGAGGCGCGTCAAGACCCTCGTAGAGGCCGACGACCATGCCATCTGTTACGGGGCCTTGCAACAGACCAGGCTTCTCCTTGGAGCCAGAGTAAATATGTCTGAATCGCTTCGCCGATTCTTCCTTCTCCGCCTTTGTTTCACTGCCGAATCGCAGTCCCTCTGTCGATTTCGTGCTCGCGGCGAAGGGGAAGACTTTGACAGCCTGGACGGCGTTGCGTCCCAGCTGCTGTGGCGCCGCCTGAAGCTTGATCACGCCGCCCACAATACCTGCACATCCGAGAGCAGTGCAGAGAGGTGCTGACAGTGACGCGGCTTGTCCGCTTGGAGGGTCGTCCCAGGGCAAAAGTCGTGCGATGACCTTGGAGGAGGCGGGTGTTTGAGCCTGTGCGGCTTCGCCTTCGGGTTGCGGCTTTCGTAGGCCAGCCGGGCGGATGACATCGACAGTGACGAAATTGACTCCGCGGAATTCGTTTGTGAAGAGGCGGTCGCGATCAACCCAGACTACGAGGTCTTGATTTGTGGTGGAGACATCGAACCAATCTGCGCAGTATGACTTGTCGATCGCGCGAAGAAACATGGTTGGCTTTGGCTCGTCTCTTGTACCCTTCTTTCGGACGGTACTCGTGCCGCTTCGTCTCGATCGCGAAGTACTAGCGACACTTCGATGGTCGCCTGTGCTCTGAGGTTGTTTGGTTCGGGTTTTGGGGGCAACAATGACTTCTGCATTGGGAGACAGCTTCGCGAATGGGGCCGTCGATGGAGGTGCCGGGTCCAGCGAGATGATTTTTATATTGGCCGTCGACGTTGGAGAGAGGTGAAGTGTGAGAGGATGCGGGGGGATTGGCTTGTCGCCCGAGCCTGTGTACTCCGGGTTCGGGAGCGCACGAATTTGCGATTGCAGATTGAGTTCGAGGAATGTGGCATGAAGTTCGATAATCTCCCAGTCCTCAGGCGTCATGGGTTCAATGTTGATGGTGTGTGCAATGGGAGGGTCGACGTGCACCGTGGCCATGACTTTCTGGCCGTCGCTGAGGCCCAATGTGTGCGCCAACGTGGCGTCAATCTCAACAAGCTGGATATCCTGATCGCGCGACGAGATTCGTCCACCGTCGCGATTGAGAGGAGTCGCGGTTCGTCGTTTGCTCGGCATGCCTGTCCAGCCGACAAAGACTGATCGCTCATGTGTGCCCGACGACGCCTGTGTTCCCGGTGCCGGGGCGCGAAAGGTGAGCTCAACAACGACATTTTGAGCGGGCTAGAGGAAAGAAACTATTAGTTCAAGGGGCTCTCGGTGGACAAGTTGCCGCAAAAGCTAGACGCACCGTATTGACATTGACCAGCAGCGAGACCAGGGTGGGGGGAAGGTTGACCAAGCAGTTCTTTAGATGAACAATTGAGAGCTCGGCGTTGACCGACTGCGCATTCTTTCTGGGGGCCATGTTGCACAGCTGTATGTTGCAGCATACCGTGACTTGACCTTATTTGCGCAGAAGCTATGTGAAGAGAGGAATGAAGCTTTGCACCTAAGAGCTTCCCCAGAGTCCGACTTCCGGCCAGTGGCCGAGGTAAGCGGCACGTGCAGTGGGTCGGCCTTGAAGCCAGGACGCTCAAGGCCGCCGGCCAACTTGCCCGGCGCCAGCGCTGTGCCACAGGTGGCGCAACAGTTTAATAGATTTTGTGGCGCACCAACGCGAAAGCGCGCCGTTACGCGTTGGAAACGCGCTGGGCAGCTAGCAAGCTGGCGGCTGGCAATCCTCCCTGGCGTTCCCTCTCCCAGCCCCCACCAGATTTCCTCGACTTGCACGAATCTGTATAACCCCGAGCAACCTGCATTAACTACACAACTCTACCTCTTCTCAGTCTCGCCACAGCTGCAGCGACGGAATCGCTTGCTGAGATTACCCATCACAATCGCCCGTCATGGCGCTCCGCGAATTCAAGGCCCCCGTCAACTATGAGACGCACCAGAGTGAGTTTTGCGCTGCCTGCGCTGCCTGCGGTGGCATGCGCCCGCGCGCCCTGCTAACAGCTCGATAGGTGCGTTTGAGGTCTTCCTCCAAGACTTCAAGACCTCGCCCGAGCACACAATCACCACGGCCATGGGGAACATCACCATTGATGAGGACGACTTGAGCGACGAGTACGACTTTATGGATGATGACGACGAGACGGGCGACAGCCGTCGCCGCGACAAGGAGCAAAGCCGTGCGCCTCGCCACAAATACAAGGAGATTCTGCAAAAGCTGGCAGACCGCGTACGAGACGAGATTGTTATTGATCTCGATGATCTGGCTGCGTGGGAAAACGAGACCGGCGAGGCGCTGCAGCTCGTCGACTCGATTGAGCTCAACACAAAACACTACGTTGACATCATGGCCCAAGCCGTGGACAAGGTCATGCCACAGCCTAGCGTGGATGTCAACTTCAAGGACGACGTTCTGGACGTGTTGATGGCGCGCCGCCAAGTGCGAAACCGCGAGCTTGAGGACATTGCCGAGGCCAACGGCACTTTCGAAGAGGACAAGTTCCCTGCCGAGCTCACCCGCCGATACACGCTCGTCTTCAAGCCCCGTGTCAACGCGCCCGACTTTGCCTCCAAGGCTCTCGCCGTGCGCCACGTGCGCGGCGATAACCTCGGCCACCTCATCACCGTCCGCGCCATTGTCACGCGCGTCTCCGACGTCAAGCCCATTGTGCAGGTCAGCGCGTACACCTGCGACAGGTGCGGTGCCGAAATTTTCCAGCCCATCACAGACAAGCAGTACGGGCCCCTGACCATATGCCCGTCCAAGGACTGCAAGGAGAACCAGTCCAAGGGACAGCTGAACCCATCGACGCGTGCCTCCAAGTTTCTCCCCTTCCAGGAGGTCAAGGTCCAGGAAATGGCGGAGCAGGTCCCTATTGGCCAGATCCCTCGATCGCTCACCGTTCACTGCTTCGGCAGTCTCGTGCGTCGCGTGAACCCCGGTGACGTGGTGGATATTTCTGGCATTTTCCTCCCCACGCCCTACACTGGTTTCCAGGCCATGAAGGCCGGTCTGTTGACGGATACCTATCTCGACGCCCACTATATCCGTCAACACAAGAAGGCCTACAGCGAGATGATTATTGACCCTACATTGGTGCGACGCATTGAAAAGTACAGACAGACGGGCCAAGTCTACGAATTGCTGGCCAAGTCTATTGCCCCCGAAATTTTTGGTCACCTTGACGTCAAGAAGGCACTTCTTCTCCTGCTTATCGGTGGTGTCACCAAGGAGATGGGCGACGGTATGAAGATCAGGGGAGACCTCAACATCTGCATGATGGGTGATCCTGGTGTGGCCAAATCTCAGCTGCTCAAGTACATTTCCAAAGTTGCCCCCCGAGGAGTCTACACCTCTGGCCGCGGCAGCAGTGGTGTCGGTCTCACGGCCGCCGTCATGAGAGACCCCGTCACTGACGAGATGGTCCTCGAAGGCGGTGCTCTCGTTCTTGCGGACAATGGCATCTGCTGTATCGATGAGTTCGATAAGATGGACGAAAATGACCGTACTGCTATCCACGAAGTCATGGAACAGCAGACCATTTCCATCTCCAAGGCTGGCATCTCCACCACGCTCAACGCTCGCACTTCCATCCTGGCCGCGGCCAACCCCATCTACGGCCGCTACAACCCCCGCATCTCCCCCGTCGAAAACATTAACCTCCCCGCCGCGCTGCTGTCGCGTTTCGACATCATCTTCCTCCTGCTCGACGTGCCGACGCGCGACACGGACGAGCAGCTCGCCAAGCACGTCACCTTTGTGCACATGAATGGCCGCCATCCCGACATTGGCACCGACAACGTCGTCTTCAGCCCCCACGAGGTCCGCTCGTACGTGGCACAGGCGCGCACCTACCGGCCCACTGTGCCCGAGTCCGTCACCGAGTACATGATCCGCACCTATGTCCGCATGCGCGACCAGCAGCAGCGCGCCGAGAAGAGGGGCAAGCAGTTTACGCACACGACCCCGCGAACGCTGCTCGGCGTCGTGCGTCTCGCGCAGGCCCTGGCCCGCCTGCGCTTCAGCAACCAGGTCACCCAGGACGACGTGGACGAGGCCTTGCGTCTGATTGAGGCCTCCAAGGACACCCTCAACGTCGACTACGGCGGCAGCCGTCGCAACCTCAACGCCAGCAGCAGAATCTACAACCTCGTCAAGGCGCTGGCTGACTCTGGCGCGTGCCGGGCTGACGATGTCGAGGATGATGAGCTGGGCGTCGAACTGAGCATGAGAAAGGTCAAGGAGCGTGTCATTGCCAAGGGCTTCACCGAGGACCAGTGGATGAACGCCCTGGAAGAGTACACCACTCTTGATGTAAGTTTCTCCCATGCACTTTTGGCCGTTCCGCGACATGTATACTAACAAGATGAGTAGGTTTGGCAAACAACTGGCAGCGGCACGAGACTTGTCTTTGTCACTGCCACGGGTGATGATGGCAACGATGACATGGATGACATGTAAACGAGGCACGAGCAGGGCAAGGCATGAAAAGGGCGTGTTTTTTGCTATATTCATCGATGTGGAATGCGGCGTTGGGCGTAACTACCTCATTGTTTTTGTAACGTTTTGTATGGGAGATGCTTCTTCAATGTTTGGACGTTTTTGGGGAATAATTTGTGCAGATCTGGAGCTTTGGAATTTCCGCCACCAGTCTTGATCCGTCACAAGGGTAGAGTCGATCGATTCAAAATAGAATGACACTATTGAGTAGCTACTCGCACATGAGCCCTAGTGCGTTATGTGGTAGTGAAAGGTATGCAAAAGTAGAAGATGTGGCTTTGTCTTTATATATAAACTCCTAAAACAACGTCGTATTGTACAGTAAATTTTCTCCGCCCCTCGCGACTCTGCATTAGTTTTTTTTTTTTTTTTTTTTTACATTTTCAGGTTCTGCAGCACGACGCGCTCCATCTCGCCAATGTTGCCGTGGCCGCCAAGCGCCCAGTTCTGGGCGACGAGCTCCGCGGTGAGCGCGCTGCGGACGAGGCCGCTCGCGCCCCAGTACTCCATGAGCGCGCGGGCCTCTGGCTTGGAGACGCCCTCGAGGCGGACGACGTGGCAGTTTCTGAGCGCGTCGTAGACCTTGTTGTCGTAGCCGCGGAGGTACGGGTCCGGCGCGGGCACGGCGCGGCCGGCCTGGCCGGCCTCGAGCTGGGCGAGGACGAGCGCCTCGGACGGGTGGCGTGCAGGCGTGTTGCTGGCCGAGTCGGCGGCGATGACGGCGCCGCCGTTGGGCATCGGGGCGGCGCCGGCGAGGGCGCGGAAAAAGTGCCCGAGCAGCGTCAGGTTGTGCGCGTGCACCTTGTTGAAGGCCGGGTCGCGGTACTGGCTGTCCTTGTTGGCAAAGGTGAGGCCGTCGAGGGCCATGAGCACCGGCGGGCGCCCGGGGAGCGTCAGCTCCGACCAGAGCGCGCAGAAGCCCGGCCAGGCGGCGTCGGGCTCGCGGATGTTGGTGACGAGGTCGGCGAGCGAGGCGCCCTCGAGCAGGCCGCCCGTCAGGGACGACTTTTGCTCCACCTTGAGCTTCTCCAGCGTAGCCTTGTTGGCTTTGAGGATGTTTTGCAGCAGGTTGAGTGTGTATGTGGGCTGGGTGAACTGCATCGGCTCCGAGTTCGGGACGGGCGAGTAGTCTGTATGAGCGTTGACCAAGTCCTGGGCTGTTGGGGGAGAGACACCACGTTAGTACCATTCATTCCAGAGCTGCAGGAAGAAAAACGTGAGAGGGAGAGCTATGCTTACCTTCGGGAATGTTGATGACGACCCATTCATTCTTCAAGGCGTGGCTCATGGCCTGCACCAGCGCCGTGCTCTTGCCCGAGGCCCTGCTGCCCGTGAGCACAATCCGCGCCACCTCCTTGGCCGCCACCGCCCTCTCCATCCGGGCAACCATGTTGACCGTCTCCTTGCGGACCAGGACGTGCGGCGTGCGAAACAGGCCCCAGCTCTGTCCCGGGCGAAACGCGCCGAGCGTGCGCAGCTGGTCGACGACGGGGTCGGGCAGGCGGACGACGGTGGCGGCGCTCGCCGCGTCCGCCAAGACGCCGGCCTCGAGCAGCTGCAGGCCCTCGACGGCCAGGGCGCTGTTGCTGCTCAGGGTGATGCGCTTGCGAAAGGCGCGGCGCTCGCCGGGCGCCGGCTTCCGCACGTTCTCGACGCCGAGACGCTTCTTGTTGAACGTCTTCTTGGTGGGCTTGACAATGTCGCGGCGGCTCTTGACGCCCGACGCGGCGGCGGCGGCGGCACTCGTGGTCGAGAGCGGCGCAAAGGCGACGAGCACGGGCTGCATGCTGCGCGCAGGGCGAGGTAGGGCGGCCGCGGGCCGCAGCAGCACGGCCTTGAAGCTGTGGGCGGCGGCTGCCATTGTGGCCAGCTCGGGGACCGGAGGGAGAAGGTGAGGGGGTCGGTCGGATGCGTGTAGCGGTATCTAGAGAGTCGGCGGGGATTGGGTATCGGAGTAGGCCCAGTGGGCGGGCTGGCGGGTGGTAGGGAGTCGCGTGAGAGTTTGAAGATGATGGAAAAACTATCGACACCTCTGGCCCAGCTTCAGTACAGGCCACTAGAGCGCCCGGCCGCTTCAGCGCTGTCTGGTACTGGTGGCCCACCCACTGACCACCGGAACATTGAAGAGCCGTTGATCCGACTACAGAACCGATAAGAGCCTATCGTAGAAAAAAAAGTTGCTGGAACATCTCGGTCAGTGGGACGAACCACCATCCTTTCCCCCCCAAAGAACAGAAATACTTTATCTTGCCCAACCACAAAATCTCTTCGAATCGACAAGAACACCAATTCGAACCATCCAATCGCCACTCACACACATCACCATGTCCATCCCGGCCTCGAAACCGAAGCTGCCCGTGGCGGTCGAGAAGCCGACGCCGTACACGTTTGACCTCGGCTACCTGATGGCCGAGGACCCGAACAGCATCACGCTGGACGCTGCAGCGCTCGAGCAGTCGCTAGCCAGCGTAGCGCGCGACGGGGCGCAGTCGCTCATCAACCAGCTGCTGACGGTGTGCGCGCCGCACTCGACCAAGGACGGGGTGCTGCTGTCGCTGCCGGCGCCGTCGACGCGGCTGCCGCGGGAGAAGCCGGTGCCGCAGGCGCGCCCGCCGACCAAGTGGGAGCGCTTCGCCGCCAAGAAGGGCATCACGCCCAAGACGCGCGAGCAGCGCCGCAACCTCACCTACGACGAGGCCACCGGCGAGTGGACGCGCAAGTGGGGGTACAAGGGCGCCAACAAGAAGGGCGAGGACGAGTGGCTCGTCGAGGTCGACCCCGAGGCCGAGGCCCGCCGCAAGGACGGCACCAGCGTCCGCGCCGACGGCCGCCGCGAGCGCAAAGAGAGGGTCCGCCGCAACGACCGCAAGATGCGCAAGAATGCGCGCGACGCCGCCGAGGACGCCAAGCTCAAGAAGTAGAGAGCAACGCGACGGAACAAGCTCCAGCGGTCGAGCCGAAAAGTCAAATGCATTTTGGAGTGGGCAGAGCCGGTCTGTGTACCACCTACCCCGGCGCAGGCGTTTGGATCATGTTTATGGCGTTGTTGGGCATTTTTGTTGTCTTGTCAATCTATTCAAAGGTAGAAAAGGGTAGAAAAGCACGTCTTTCATGTACACATGTACACGGCATCACGTATTCGGAATCGATGCATGATAGTGGTTGTAAATGTTCAACTTGATACTTTTGATTCTATTGACCAAAATTGCATCATCGCCTCCCGTCTCCTACGGGCTCTAAACAAAAAGCCATGCGCTTTGCCAAAACGTGACCACTCTTGCTCTATTATACATTTCGGGGAAGCAACAGCTCCTCCCTGGCCGTGCGACACATTATCGCAGTAATCGACACAGCCCTGCACGAACAGCCACCCCGAACGAAAGAAAAAGGAGAAAAGGGACAAGAAAACCGAAAGGGCAAAATCCCGCCTCCATCTTCACTTTCTATGCCAAACATTAATAGTCAAACAAAAACGTAGAGCCATCCGCCTCTTTTTTTTCGCCCAGTGCATCGGACATGTAGCGCCATTGGCACAAGACCACCCAAGCCAAGTCAACCAGCGCAAAAGATTGACCGGAAATAGAATTCAAGGAAGAAAAGAAAGAAAAAAGAAAAAAGAAAAGAAAGATTAACCGTCGAATGTCAAAAGTAAACGTAACCAGTAAAATGGCAAGGCGAATCCAGATGTAAAGCATTAACGCGATGTGGGGTATACCAAACGGCGAACGGTAAAGCTGGCTGGCGCTGAAGCCATGAAGGCTAGAAGGGATACCCTTGGTCGTCGAATATCCAGGGACAAGACAGGTTCCGAAATGACATTGTTATTGCTAAGGAATCGAACCGAGAAAAGAACGTTTACCACAACACAAATGTGGCGCGCATGATGTGAGACGTCAAGTCGTTATTTAAAACGTAATTGCGAAATGCAGTAGAACAGAGAATGCTCAGAATCCCAAGGGGGACAGCGGCTTGATCGGTGACAGAGGCCGCATGTCGGCCGTCTTTGGCCGTGTTTCATGGCTGTCCGTTGCTACCCTAATCGAGTCGGGCTCGTTGGGACGCCCAATAGTAGTAGGAGCATCGTGGAACTCTTCTTTACCATCCTGGTTGCTACCGGACGGGGACGGGTTGCGCACCTCGGTATGGCTCGTCAGTTGCGCAGGCTCAGCGAGACCTCTGGGCGGGGGTTGGTCAAACCGCTTGTATTCTTCTTCGATATATTTAGCCTCGTTCTTACACCCCTTCCAGCAGTTTCTCCAGTCGCAGACCAGAAATCTGAAGCAGAAGGCGTCAATCTTCATGCAGGGCTGGAAGCAGATGCACAAGTTGCGGAAGTCCATCTTGTTCTTATCAGAATGGGCAAGCAAAAGGCTGAGATGGCAAGTGATGGCGAAGAGAAGATAGTAGTTGAAGGGGGACAAATTGGCGAGTTCGTCAATGAGCAGCTGCGGGACCTCTTCCGAGCCAGCGCATTCCCTTGCAATGCGATCCTGCGATTCCTTGGGGAACAGCTCATCTGGGAGCTCTCGTAGCCATGCTTTGAGCATCGAGCCGACAATGTTGATGTCGTATAAATTGTCAACCTCGAACAGGTTGACGTCATGTTCTGCCAGGCAAGTCAGTTAGCAATGGTCAAATTCAGAGTGTGTCTAAAGGCGGGATTGATGAACATACGCTCATCGAAACGACGCTGCCATTTTTTTATCTGTGGGCCACTGCCAGGCACACGATACAACCCTTCCACATCGCAACCTTTGTAATTCAGGTAGTCAATGGCGCGCCAGGGAAAGGCAGGCATCCAAAATTCTGTCTTGTCGCGTGAGTGCTCAAGGCGCTTTGAGATGCGGGTGAGACGTGTCTGCTCAATCAAAGGAAGGTTGAGGACTTTTAGCACATAATGCTCGTCATCAACGACGGGTTCTCTTTCTGTTGTGCTGCCGCTCCTTGTGCTCTTGCCGAACAAGCCTTTACTAAGGATGTCAGCGGCGCGGGAGCCACGTAAGCCGCTCAGAAATGTCGAGCCCCCGTTTTCCTTGTAAGAGGGTGGCATCTTGTGGTTGTTGTCGCGGTCTCGGTCTCGAAGGTTTTCGCGACTGGCGTTGCCGTTTCTAGCGAGGGCACGGTCCTCGGAACGGTTTCGGATGCTCGAATTCATCATTTCCCGAAAAGCGCGATCCTGGGCTACCGGTGCGGTCCTCAAAGGAGCAAAATCGTCGGACGCGATGGAAATACTGGGAGTATTCGGAAGGGTGGCAGGGGAAGGCCTGGGACTGGATCGGTCCTTGTCGCGATTCGACTTGGAGCGTCCCAAGAGGCCAAAGGGTTTTCCTTTGCGCGGCTTGCTGCTAGCGGTTGTGGCGCTGTCGGTATCACCGGCAGAAGAAAGTGAGATTTGCGACTGTGAAGAGAAGGGTAGATTTGGACGTTGAAATTCGTCGTGTCCGTAGACTGAGCCTATGGAGGACGAGGTGGCAGGTTAGCAACAAGCATGTGACAGAACAGGGGCACATGGAAACAAGCGGGCAAGAGGTCGAAGGATGCGGCCGTGAACACAAGCGCAGGAAGCGGTAGGGGAAGACACGTACCACCGGTTTGATTCGTCGCAAGCTGGTCGATGGTGGTTGCGGCGGCGTGATCGTGGTGTGGTTTGTCGGGAAAGGGTTGGGTTGCAGGCAGCGGCTGGGTGGCGACCCGAGACCCTTTGCTGAAGTGAAAGAAGCCGCTCTTGGATGTCTTCCTGCCGTCTGTCTGGTGCTGTGGTTGGCGGGAGGACAGCTGGGCCGGGCGGGAGAAGGAGTCGAGAGTTGTGTGAGACGAGTGCGGGAGGGGATGGTCGTCGCGATACTGGTGAGAGGGCGGAAGTGGCTCGCGTGCGGTGGAGGGCCGATTGGGCGGAAGAGAGGGCGGCGGCTGATCAAGGGGAGAAATAGCGTTGGTCGAGGACAGGCTCTGTGCGTAGGCGGCGGCGTTTGGGTCGGCCGTGTTGAGTCTGTCGCGGTTGAGGCCGGCGCTGGTCGAGGTCGAGTCTGGCAGCATGAGTGGCTGCGGAGTGGGCTTTCGTCCCATGGCTTTTTTTTTCTTGGTAGAGGAGGCAACAGGACGGCAAGGGGACGAGGCGGGTGCAGCAGCAGCAGCAACAGCAGCAACGAACAGCGAGCACAAGGTGTAGCTGCGGCGGCGGCGGCGGCGGCAGCGGCCTGGGACAAGTCCTCTATCAGAGGTACCAATAACGTTAGAGACGTTAGAGTACTATGCTCAACCCAGCAAGGAGAGAAAGGCGCGGCAGCCTCTGTTGCTTCATGAGGCGTTGTCCTGAAAATAGACCAACAAAAGACGGTCCAGCAGGGTTCAGCCAGGGACCAGGAGAGGGAGTGAGGGGGAGTGGGTGCCAGTGTTGCTTCAAGTTTTTAGGCGGGCAGAGCAAGTAAAAGAGGAGGGGGCGGTGGTGGTTACTGGATTCTTCGGGTACAGTGGGAGGGGGGATAAAATCAGGCAAAATTAAACAAGATATGAACGAGGCCCAATTCAAGATGCGCGTCGGGCTCGACGCTCCAAATTACTTACCACTGACCAGCCCCGAGTATCGAGGCGTTATCGAGGCTACCTTAGTAACTAGCTACAGATACAAATACTCGTAATTTGGACAGATAACAGATACCTACACACGTTGGTCACCAGCCACTAGCACCGCCACCGGCCACTGGCCACAAGTGACGGACCCGGCGGTTCCAACAACGTCGCAAAGTTGTTCCAGGGGTTGCAAGCGAAACAAGATTACCAGGAGCCACGTTGCCCCACTGAGAAGAACCGAGAGAATGATGGCTGTATTTACGTTTGGATATTATAAAAAAGGTGTATTTATGCAAAGATTTCATGCTTTTCATACATTTCCAACGCTTTTATTCTCTTGTATTTTTTGTTCGACTCTGGACAACGGATCCGTACTCTGTACTACTACGCTAGAAGACAGGCGTATGTACCGAGGTACCTCCTACTGTATAGCAAGGTTGGTACCTAGGTAGGTACCTACCGAGACGGCAGTCGTATTAGTCGCTGCAATGCCATGCATGGCTTCACTTCAAAGGCATTGCCATCCAAATCCTGATACCGTATTAATAACCCAGGATCTTGAACAAGGTGAATTGAAAGCCCTACTATTGTCTAGAGACACCACAGCACTGAATTTGTGTCAGCTTCTGCAAGTCCACGTCATCCCCAGACCAATTCATTTCCCAGCTGCGACTATCGCCACCGCTCCCCTGGCAAATCGGAAACATGGTCCACGAGGCGCATATTTCATCTTACGGAGCCGTCTTGGCTACATTAGCCCGCAGCTCGAGATGGCCTCGGCACAATCGTCCCGATAGCAGCTTGGAACGAAAGTGACCGAAAGATTGGCCCTGACCACAGCGACATTCGGACATGTTGTAACCAAGCCTTACTTACTCTCGCTGGTAGGCTCACCACGCTCTCACAGCTACGCCGAGGTGCGGTTGTACAAGGGGATACTCTATTCTTTCAACCTCTATGTGCTACCTATGCCGGATACGCCGCCCCGTCACCACGCGGGTCGCTGCCCGCAGACCACAGCGGTGTCTTGTCCACAGGGTCAACCAACTGCCGGATAATCTGCCCTCGGCCAAAGAGACTGCGCTCCGCGCCGCGAAGCACCTTGACCTGGTGTCCCAGCCTCCGAAGCGCCTCAATCGTCGCCTCCGGAATTCCCTCTTCTACGTGCACAACCCAGTCGCTCGTCTCGTCTGGCCCTGCGAGCCCGGCGCCGATGCAGATGCGGGGTGCGTCGAGGGCCTGCTGCGGATCGAGCCTGCCAACAACTTGACCCAGGAGCACCTGCACATGGCCCTGCGGCTGCATGAAGCCACCCATGACACCAAACGACGAGTGCAGAGAGCCATCGCTGATATTGGTGGCCATGGCCGGGATGATGGTGTGATACGGACGCTTCCCAGGCTCCAGCCTGTTTGGGTGGTCGCTTCGCAGCGAGAAATTAGCTCCGCGGTTCTGCAAAGTAAACCCACAGCCGTGGGGGATAATGCCACTGCCAAATCCATCGTAGTTGGAGTTGATAAAGGAGGCCGCATTGCCAGCCGCATCGGCGACGGTAAAGTAAACAGTATCGCTGCTCTGTAATGCCGGAGAAGTAAACGGAGGCTGGCCTTTTGTGATGCCCTCGCAGACTTTGGACGGGTCAAACAGCTTGGCCCGGCCCGCGAGGTATTCTTCGGAAATCATGCCAGCAATCGGGACCTTTGTCACATTCGGGTCAGTAACATACCAATTACCATCAGCAAAGCTAAGACGCAGAGCCTCGATAATAGCATGAAGGTACGGAGCACTGTTAAAGTCGTCGGACGTAAAGGTAGGAATCTTTCCAGCCTTTTCCAGCTCTTGGATGATGCCAAGTGCCATGAGCGCCACGATGCCCTGTCCATTCGGCGGATGCTCCCAAAGCTCTATGCCCCCGTCTGCAGACTCGGAAGCAAGGCCTTGGCCGTAGAATTTGATCGAGACGGGCTCGACTGGCTCGCTGCCCAGATCCCCATGATGCTTCAGATCATCCAGTTCAAGATAGCCGCCGAGATCCTGCACGACTTTGACGAGCTCTTCAGCAATGCGACCGGTATAGAAGCCCTGTTTTCCTTTCTCCGCGAGCGTGCGAAATGTGTTTGCGAGCGCTGGGTTCTTCATGATCTCACCAGTCCTAGGCGCACGGACGCCATCAGCGGCGGCGGGATCCCTCTTGAGCATCTCTGCGAAATTGGGAGAAGCATTGCGAATGAGCTCTTCTGAATGCCCCCACTACCTATCATCAGAAGAATGACACAATCGATATATGAGGAGAGATACATACGGAGGAGGCCGCCACTTGGGACACGGGAAAGCCCTTCTCGCCAAGTTCAATGGCGGGCTTCAGCACATCAGCCATGGTAAGGGTGCCGCTTCCGAATCGCTCAATCGTGTCCACCCAGCCTGCTGCTGCTCCGGGTACAGTGACGGAATGGACGCTGAGCATGGGAATGCCGCTCGGGTCGTCATCCTTGAAGCCCAGTGCCGAGCGAATCGTATCAAGTGTGCATTTGGCACCAGACCGTCCAGAACCGTTCATGGCCGAGACCGTCTTCTTTCGCGCATCCCAGTAGAGGATGAACATGTCTCCTCCAATGCCAGTCGAGCACGGCTCCGTCATGTTGAGACCAGCAGCTGGACGAACAGGTCAGTTCCGCTTGTTGGAGACAGAAGCGGCGGAATTGATCAACATACCAACGGCGACAGCTGCATCCTGCCCTGAATTAGAATTCAACTGCTATAATTGTCAAAAAAAAAGGTCACTTACAGCAGCATTTCCACCGGCGCGAAGCACATCTGCACCACACTTGGCAGCAAGTGGCTGCGTACAGCTGATAATTCCCTCGGTGCTGTGGACAACGCTGCGGCGGGAGGGGAACCGAGTGAAGTCGAGCGCCGAGTGGTTCTTGCCAAAGGCAGACTCGGTAGAGAGAGGCATGGTGACTGTTCTGCTGATTTGGCGAGGCTAATCAGACTTCTTGTTCAAGAAGAAACCAATACAGGAGAGAACAATCTTGTGCTCAAGAGGAGATGTACAGGAAGAGTGGAAGAGCGGAGCTGCGGAAAGTAATGAGGCTGTTTGGCGGCGTCTTGCGAGATATCTCCTTGTTACGTGCCGGTGGAGGAAGGCTCTAACTAGCGTAGTGGCAGCGTCGTGGGCGATTGAAGCTGGCGAGGGTGACAATTGTCTTCCAAGTAACTATTCGCAGAGGGTTTGTGCCCCCCGGAGCTTCAGATTTAGGCTCCGGCGAACCCCTCGAACAGTGTCCGGTGGATCATGATAAGACATCCAGCTTCCCCAGATTTGGACTCCGGAGAGGGGGCGGATCCGCCCGGCGACAAGGCGTCGGTGTGGCTTTATTAGTAAGAGCAACATCACCATGAGATGCAATCATCGATTGTCCGCCTCTTTTCTCCCCGTATGTATCGCGATGGTTGTTGCAAGGAAAGAAACAAGGCCGAGTCCTCGAATTGCCAGCAGGCGGAGGAGTAAGCAAGTCATGCTTCAACTCTACCTTCACGAGGTGTTCTCTGAGGCCGCCCTTGGCTCAAGTCTCCGTCGCAATGCGAGCTTAATTATAGTTCCTGTGGGGTTATCGCAGTCTAGTTTGGTGCCGCGTTATCCTAAAGAAATACTCACGGACCCCCGTCTCCGTAGTTATCTATAATAGGCGAAGGGTGAGTCCTCCCTATGCTATTTGCCGACCGCGTATCAATGAGTCGGATCGGGGATGTCCAAGGTCCTTTGCTGTGTCTGATTCCGGTCTGCTTCCGCAGGATCGGCATCCTAGGCTAGCGCATTGTGGCTCTTGCATTGACAATTCTTTCCGAGTGATACGTCTGTGGCCTGGTCGAAGTATCTACACCACCAACTCTCAGGAGGGTTGCGGACTGCTAGGGTGAGCTGTCAACGTGGCGATATAAAGCGGCCGTGGTCTGCCACCTTCAGCAGCGACCAATGTAGCCTCGAAATCTAGCTTCCTCTGTGATTGTTGATAACTGTTTACTGCCGAGCTGCATCAAGCTCGCTATACCCACCATGGAACTTGACCAACTCCCAAAGGTTGGCTATAGTCATGATGACGATGCTAACCACGACCCTGAGCCCGCCAAACCAACAGTCAAGGCCTCCGACCTCGATGCGGCCCTACAGTTTATCAATTACGATTCCAATGACATGCCACCTATGAGTGAAGACGACGAAAGACGTCTAGTTAGAAAGATTGACTTGTCTATTGTGCCACTTATGTGTAAGCTTCCTGTATTACGGCCATAGAACCTTTGGAGGATGCTAACGGGCCATGATAGTCGGTTGCTATTTTTTGCAATATCTCGACAAAACGCTCAGTGAGCTATGCAACTCTTCAAATAGCACTTCTTTACTCACGCATCTGCAGTCAACTATGCCAACATCATGGGACTCCAACAGGACACCAATATCAACGGCAACCAATTTTCCCAACTCGCCCTCGTCTTCTACGTTAGTTACCTCGTCTTTGAGTTCCCTACAGGCTACCTTATGCAAATTCTCCCCACGGCAAAATACCTCGGTGCCAACATCATTTGCTGGGGTATCATGGTTGCTTGCACCGCTGTCGCCAGGTCCTGGGGCCCTCTAGTCGCACTGCGGGTGCTGCTGGGATGTTTCGAGGCCGCCGTCGCGCCAGCTCTCATTCTCATCACAGCCATGTGGTACAAAAAGTCTGAGCAACCACTGAGGGTAGGCATCTGGTACCTTGGCACTAGTATTGGCCAGATGGTTGGTTCCGCCACGTCATTTGGCTTCCAGCACTACAAGGGAAGTACTTTCAAGTCGTGGCAGATCATGTTCCTCGTGTTCGGACTCATCACCATTGCCCTGGGTGTCCTCATCGTTCTCATCATGCCCGACAATCCCATGGTGTCACGGCTTTCAGAAACGGAAAAGAAATGGGCCATTTCACGCTTGCGGGAGAATATGACTGGTATTGAGAACAGGAGCTTCAAAAGATACCAGGTCATCGAGTGCCTTCGTGATCCGCAGACTTGGATATTGTCCATGGCCGTCTTGGCGTCTGATATTCCCAACGGCTTTACCAGCACATATTCCTCTACTGTTATCAAGACATTTGGTTTCACGTCCGAGGTCTCGGCGCTTATGGGCATACCTTCCGGCGCCTTCACTTCCATTCTCATCATTGCCAGTAGCTCGCTGGCTGGCAAGTACAACATACGCGGCTGGCTTTCGGTCGGTTTCCTCGTCTTCAGCACCATAGGAAGCTGCCTTTTGAGTTTTTTGCCGGCCAATGGGTATGTAGCCGGCAAGATGGCTGGCACGTACCTGACTTCGTGCAATTCCCCTTCACTTGCCCTCATGTACTCATACGCGTCGGCCAACTTTTCCGGACACACAAAAAAGGTCACGCTGAATGCCATACTCCTCGCAAGCTTTTGTGAGTCTCATTTTGGTCAATTTGATCATCTTGCAATTACTGATGGAAGCATAGGTATTGGCAACATTATCGGCCCCCTTACATTCCGTGACAAGGACAAGCCAGAGTATATCCCCGCCAAGATCGCCATGGTTATCACCAATGCATTTTCGGCACTCTGTATGTTTGCCCTCGTTATGTACTATAAGAGGGAGAATCGTCGTCGCGATCGCGTCTACGGAGGCCTCGAGCACGTGGAAAATTCCGAATTCTTCAACCTAACTGATCGCGAGAACATGGAGTTTCGGGTACGTCGAATTTCTTCCGTCCCTCCGAGACGAAAAGTCGGGTTATGTGCTGATTATGCCTTAGTATTCTCTATGAGAGCGGAATATTGCGCTCGGAAAATAGCTTCAAGGCCTAATATCGCGCTGTATAGTCCCAAACATGTTGTACCTACTCGCTCATACCCGGAAACTCCAATGAAGCCCTATGGAACATATATTCAGCAGCGCGAGAAAAGAAAAGGGGAAACCCCATCTTAAATTCAAGTATTTCAATTCATCAGGCCCAACTAGGATGAATAAATACTTGGTTTATTATTTCTTAACTGGTTGGTTTAGTGCGTGTGTGACAAAGAGTCTCGTTGCTTGTTAGTTCGGTGGAGTCGGCAAGAGTGTGTATCATCACCGTCACTTCACTATTTGTAGGTTTCTCTTAGCAAAAGAAAGACGCTTGAAAATCGAGACTCTGTATTTGATTCGTACATTCACGTCTTATATTTTTTGAGGCAAGACAATTTTCTTTGGAAGCGCTCGAGCATGTTAGAACCCGCCTGGTGTACACCCGTTGATATACCAGGCAGCCTCCATTACATAAGGGCGTCCTGCATCCACCTGCTGGTTGTGCGCCTGCGCTTGCTGCACAATCTCCTTCCATCTCAACCTGCATCATGTCTCGGGATATAAAGCCCGCCGAACTGCCAATCCTAGCTACCGATGCTCATGTCAAGTATGTCCAGAGCCTCGACTCCAAGACCGACGAGGTCGACTACTGGCTCACCGAGCATCTCCGGTTGAATGGCGTGTACTGGGGGCTCAACGCCCTGCACCTTTTGCGCCGCCCGGATGCCCTCCCCCGGCAAGACACCATAGACTTTGTTCTCTCTTGCCAGCATGAAAGCGGCGGTTTTGGAGCTGCCCCTGGCCACGATGCGCACCTGCTCTCTACCGTCAGCGCCGTGCAGGTCTTGACCATGGTTGACGGTCTCGAAGATCTCGAAGCGCGGGGCAAGGGCCAAGGCAAGGCGCAAGTCGGGAAATGTAAGTCGGCCGGCATGAACGAACCGCTAACTCGCACCGAACCTAGATCTCCTAGCTAATGTTGCGCGTAGACATGGCCGACCTGCAAAATCGCGAAACTGGCAGCTTCTTTGGCGACGAGTGGGGCGAGGAAGACACACGATTCCTCTACGCAGCCTTGAACGCACTGTCTCTGCTCAAAATGGTGCATCTCGTAGATGTCGATAAAGCTGTCCAGTTCATCGCGAGCTGCGCCAACTTTGATGGCGGCTTTGGTGCCAAGCCTGGCGCTGAATCCCACTCGGCGCAAATTTTTACGTGCCTCGGCGCGCTTTCCATCGCCAACCGCCTTGACATCGTCGACAAAGAGAAGCTCGGTCGCTGGCTCAGCGAAAGACAGCTCCCCGGGGGCGGGTTGAATGGGCGGCCGGAGAAGAAGGAGGACGTGTGCTACAGCTGGTGGGTGCTGTCGAGCCTTGCCATGATTGATCGCACACACTGGATCGACCGGGATGGGCTTATCAAATTCATCCTGAGTACGCAAGATCTGAAGAATGGCGGATTCTCCGATGCTCGTGGAAATATGACGGACGTCTTTCACACATGTTTTGGGTTGGCTGGATTAAGCCTGCTGGGATATCCTGGCCTTGAGCCTGTCGACCCGCGATATTGCATGCCCCAGAAGATTACTGAAAAGGCTTTGAGCTGATGACTGTGTAAAGGAAGAAATCCGAATAAAATGTAATGTAATGCAAGCATATACCATCCACACTAGCACCGATGCACGACCTTCTCCTGTACAAACGGCGACAACGACTGCCAGCTGGCATCACTTTTCTGCCAGCTCTGCCGGCAATACCCAGCTGGCAAAGTTGCTGGGCTCAAGTTGGTTGGATTTTCTCGGCACAATTTGCATCCGAGATTCTATGGGTAAGAAGGTCCCTAGTCTTTCATGTTTTTTGACCAGATGACTCAATCCGCCTTCTTCCAACGTACATGCAGCCGCCAGTCTTTCCTTTCTACACCGCAGTCCTCTAGCGTAGGTAACGTTTCTACCTCAAGCCTACCTACCTACCTAGGTACCTAGTTATGTGAGCCGACGAGATGCAAACGACAGCGGCGAATATCGGCACTGGCCACCTTCAGTTGCCAGGCCGTTTATCCCCACCAAAGGACTTGGGACGGTTCAATTGGGGCAACGACAAGCGAGAACGGCCGAAACCCACGCTATTCAGAGGTACCGCGGAAACTGTTGGGCGACAAGTACCAATTTCGTTCTTTGGGTTTCTTTACTCATGATAAAGACGTTAATTGACTTGCAGAGTCGCTCCAGGTACTCGCCAGTACCTTCGACTCCCCTCCTTCTCTACTCCGCGCGAACCTTGTACTTCGAGAATGCTTCCTCATTGGTATAAGCGAACCGAGGTGCTTCCTATTCTTCTCTGACATCTCATCAGACCTCCTGCCCTGCCATCTCCCGCCAGGAGATGCAATTGATACCACTGGACACCTTCTCCTGTAAGTCAGCTTCCTCATCTACCTGCTTCCTCCCATCTCTCACAGTATTGCTGGCAGAACTCTCCTGCAATTTCTTGCCACGCCGGCATAACAGTTGCTCTTTTCCTGCCTTGACACACGCTGCTGCTTTGCTTCTTGCTACCCGCCCCAGACTCTGCTGATTGTCGGCGGATGTTTACCTGGCGTCCTGTATGGTTTCAATGTCATGTCTTCAGCAATGGCTAACGCAGTATCGAGCAGGCCATGGACGGTTATAATGGAATCGGAAAACCCAGAAATATACCTCTTATTTGCACCGTCTGCCCAGAGTCTCCCAGATTTTCTGATGTTTCTCATTTACTCACCCATATTGCGTCCAAAGGCCACTTACACCACGAGACACAAACGAAGCTCAGAGCCCATCAAGATTTAGTTTCCGCAGTTGCGTTGCAGCAATATGAACAGTGGTACCACGAAAATGGCATCGAAACTCTGTTAGTTGAACGTCTGAAAGCGAAGCAAGTCAAAGAAGCGATGAAAGGCCGCCTTCACCGTGCAAATGTTGCCAGTAAACCAGCAAACGTGGCTCCCAGGGTAAGTATCAAGCAATCAAGCAATCAACGCATAAAAACAGGGGTTTGACCTATTTTTTTTGCAAGACCAAAAAGCGATCTCGGCGAACTACCAACGATCCCAACGAATACGCTGCTCAAAACTTCGCAGAAGCCATCCCCTTATACGCTGGCTTATTTTCGGAGGAACACGATTCGGAACTGCCAGATGAGCTTCTGCAGAATAATGACATGCTGTCGCTCAAAGGCCAGATCTGGCCAGGCATGGGCAAGATGGATCTCGCCAACGAAGATATGAAACGCACTAGAAACCAGCGAAAGCCTAAATCCGCCATTGACAAGATGCGTCGCACATCCGAAGGCATCGAGCCCACACAAGTGGTTTTGAACTCAGCCTTACAAGTCGAACGGGTCAAAGGCGTGTACGATAGTTCTTCTCCAATCCCTGGTCAAGAAGAAGCAGTAAGTAGATAGTAGCCGATACTTTCTTCTTTCACTGATGGAATTAGACGCCGCCCCCGCCAAAACGAACCACCAGAGTAAGAAAAAAACGAGAGCCTCTGTTAGACCTTTCGACCAATATCCCAGTCGGACACCCGAATCATGCAAATATGTTCGCCCGGACAACTGGGCAAACCAGAGCGCAAGCGCATGCATCGGAGTCCATTTACACGGGCAACTTGCCTCTCAGACATCCAATGAGACCGCAATCCATTTTTCGAGATGGACAGAGCCCACTCAGTTTGTCACTCAGGATCCTGCTGGCTTTTATCTACTCTAACCCCTCACAGACGTTTACAACGACCGAACAATGGCGCCTTCACTCCATCAAAATTCTAAGTCAGTTCATGACCGAATGCTTCCAAGGCCGGAAACTAATGGCGTAGGAACTTACCATACGAGCATCGGGTGATGCCAACAGTGAACCCTATTTCACAATCGGCGTCAAGCTTGACTGCACGGATTGTATCTTCGAAAGACACCTTTTCTTACGACCAAGACAGCCCGTCTGGACTACCAGATTTAAAGCATTACAACTTTTCGTCCAGTAATACCCCCATATCATAGGAAAACTGACCTGGTATTCACAATATCTGACTCGGATTACAGGTTTCTCCCATCGCCCCGACACCCCGAATTCACTCAATATTAATGCATTCGGCGGTGCATCACGCTATACCCTGGCAATGAACTCCCATTTCTCCGCCTACGACCGCAGCCAGGGCCACGAGAACCACCCCATCACACCCAAACAAGAGGATTATTTTTCTCTTGCCGGACAAACTTCGCTGCTTAATTCAAGTCCTCATTTCCTCAACGTATCGGAAAGCAACCCATTACTCAGCCAAGATCGTCCCTTCTTCAAGAGCTACTTGCAGTCTCCGAGCTGTAAAGGTCATGAACAGCCGAATTCCTTTAGCTTCAAACCAATCAACTATCGTCCTGATATGACCGAGCCGACGGAAATCATGGAGCCGCAGGATGCCTCGGTCGATGACATTAAAGTAGAGTCTCAATTATGCGATATTGTACACCCTAGCCTGCACAATGACAACGACGAAGCGACATTCGATGTCGACGGGACATGGGCAGCGGATACTATACTTGACGGTCTGCCTGCAGATTTGGGCCGTGACGGCTCTGCCGTCTGACTGGCTAGGATGTAATTATGTTATTGTGTCATTACAGCCTGTACTGATTGCGAATTTGTGTAAGAAGCCGTTATTTGGGCTCACAGCATTTGGAATTTATCTATATTCACATGGGCAAAAGAGCAGCATATTTGGTGTTCGTGGGGTATTATTTTGGTATGGGGCCTGTTTTTCCTGTATTCTAACCATCGGATTCCTTCTTTAATGTGTATACAATGACAATACAACAGCGCCTAAATTACAACTGGTCTATGCTGGAAATTAGATTGTCGAGTTGATCTGGACTATCGCCCATGACGTCACTCAACATGCGACAAGCGCCTTTGAAGCGTCGCGTGCGCATTTCGCTCTCCATGGCACTCGACCGTTCCGCCGCAACGTCGATGACCTTTTTCGGAATATGTGCTAGGCGGGCCACATTGAGCCCATAAGATCGGTGCGCAACGCCTTCACCGACCTCGTAGAGAAACGTAATCTCCTCCTCCCCGTCTGGGCCTGTGTCGGCCTTGAACTTCATGTGCACATTAGTCAGCCCGTCGAGGCCGTCGGCGACGCGCGCCAGGTTCTGGTAGTGTGTGATGAAGAGGGTGAGGCAGCGCGTTTCCGCGACGACGTGGTGCAGGACGGCCTGGGCAATGGCGGCGCCGTCGTGGGTGCTGGTGCCGCGACCGAGCTCGTCGAGGATGACGAGGCTGCGGGGCGTGGCGGCGCGGAGGATGCGGGCCGTCTCGGAGACTTCGACCATGAAGGTGGACTCGCTGGCAAAGAGGTTGTCGCGGGCGCCGGTGCGGGTGTGAATGGCGTCGCAGAGCGTCATGCGCAGGGCGTCGGCGGGGACAAAAGAGCCGACCTGGGCGAGCAGCACGATGAGGGCGAGGGCGCGGACAAAGGACGACTTGCCGCCCATGTTGGGCCCGGTGACGAGGTGCGCGCGCGGGGTCGGGTGCGCGAGGGTGGTGGAGAAGGGGATGTAGCCGCCGGCGAGGGTCTGCTCGGCCATGGGGTGGCGGCCGCCGGTGATGGCGATGGTGGGAGGCGCCGAGGACGGGAGGAACTCTGGGCAGGTGTAGCCCGGCTGGGCGGCGACCTTGCTGAGGGAGAGCAGGCAGTCGAGGGTGGCGAGGGCGGAAACGGCGTCGCGCAGTGGCTGGTAGGCGGCAGCGACGGAGGCGAGGAGGGCGCGAAAGGCGGCGTCGCAGGCGGCGGCGAGGGCCTCGCGGTGCTGGTCGCGCTCGGCAACGAGCTGGACGACGGCGGGCGTGTGGAAGCGGGAGACCTTTTTGGTGCCTGATATCTTGGCCCACGATGCGGGCACGTGTTTGATGTCGCTGTTGGGGACCTCGATGAGGAACTCGATGCCGGCGACGGTGACGTAGTCGACGGGCTTCTTGTGCTTGAGCTGCTCCGCGGCGGCGGCGCGGTGCTGGTCGAGCTGGTGCTCGACGTGGGCGATACCCATCTGGTGGTCCTCCATGTCTTCGGTCTGGTGCTCGTCGCGGAAGAAGCCGTACTTGTCGTCCTTGCGCGCGGCGTCGAGGTTGATGCGCTCGAGGTGGGACACGACGAGGCCGAGAATCTGCGGCAGGGCGAGGACGGCGTCGGTGAGCAGCGGCGCGTCAAAGCCCGCGTCGGCGGGCGTCTTGACGCTGGCATAGTGGCTGGCGACCTGCTGCAGGGCCTGCAGGGCGGCGAGCAGCTCCGGCCGCGTGCACTTGCCGTAGTAGATGCGGACGAGGCAGCGCTCGAGGTCGGTGCGCGTCTTGGCCAGCAGCCGCTCGAGGCCGCCGACGGCGGCCGTGGACCGCTTGTCGTGCAGCTCCTTGACGGCGACGAGGCGCGCCTCGAGGTCTGCCTGGTGGAGGAGCGGCCGGCCGAGCCACTTCCGCAGCAGCCGTCGGCCGAAGCGTGTGAGCGTCTTGTCAATGGCCCAGAACAGGCTGCCGCGCTCGGCGTGGTCGGTCGCGTTGCGGTAGACCTCGAGCGACTCGAGGGTGGTGCCGTTGACGAGCATGTGCGCGCGCGTGCTGAAGCTCTCAAAGTACTTGGTCAGGTCAAAGATGTGCTCGAGGCCGTACTCGGTCAGATGGGTCATCATGGCAGAGAGGCAAATGGTGACTGCTTCCGGCAGCCGGAGGACTTTTTCTAGCAAAGACGCGGACTGCTCGTTCTGGGACGAGGTGGCTTCTTTCATTTTCTCGGCGTAGAATTGGGTGACGTGCGAGGCGGCCTCGGCGGCCATGGTTGGCGTTCGTGGGACACGCTCGACGCGGCTGCGATCGCCAAAGACGTTGGTGCTGCTGCCGGCCAGATGCTGGATCAGCTTGTCGGTGGCCTTGGTGAGGTCGCCGACAATGACAAACTCGCATGGTGAAATGTGCAATAGTCTCGTCTCAATCTCGCTGCGCATGAAGCCGTCCTCAAACGTGTCGTAAATAATGTCACCCGTGGCTGGCTGCACGGCGAGGATACCCACGTCCACCTTTTCGTCGGTGCCCGCGCCCTTGGCCTTGGATTCTGTGAGGCAAAGAAGATAGCCACCGGATGAGGACGTATTGCCGCCTTGTGTCGACTGCTCCAGGTCGCCGTTCTCGTCAATATAAGTGCCCTTTGTGTAGAGGTTGGTGAGTTTGCGCGTAAACGGCGCGTTGCGGTTGTCGCCGACTTTTTTCAGCGCGGCCGTCTCGACCTGGCGGACGACACCAACCTTGTGCCCGGCGGCGACGAGACGGCGGGCGTGGACGGGCAGTCGGTGGACGGGGATGCTGGCGGAGGCGAACCGGTCCAGGTGGGCTTCGGACGGGTCTGCATCGAGGACTTGTTAGCTGGATGTTTGGAGACGCAGAGGCGAGTGCAACGTACGCTCGTCGTAGCGCATTTTGCCCGGAATGCAGACAATGCTGAGTTCTTTGGCGGCAACGCGCGCATCCTCGCCAAAGAACCGGAATTTGTAGCCGACTTCGACAATGAGGATCGTGTCTAGGTGTTTGCGCTTGATGTCCAGGAATTGAATCTCCATTGGCGTGAGCTTTCCTGTTTTCGAGCCCTTCTTTTTCGACTTGGGTGCTGGAACGTCGTCCTCCTCTGCTTCGCCGTCGCCATCCTCGTTCTCTTCTGTTGCGTGGTCTTGCTTGATCCGTGATCGCCAGTTCATGGCATCGGGATGGCCCAGCTTCTTGATAAACTTCTTGTGCAGGTCCGCATACCTCTTCTTTGTCGCCTCGTCGTCGGCGCCGTCGTCGGCCTCGGTCTGATCTGTGCTGGTCGGTGCCGTGCTGTACGAGTAGCGCTGCGCGCGCGCAGAAACCGGCGTTTGCACGGGGAGAGGAGCATCGCCGTTGCCGTCGTCGGCGAGGGCAGATGTCTTGGCCTTTTTGGCATCTCGTTCTAGGTCATGATTTTCTTTGTCGGCAAGCTCGTCAATGGATCGCTTGCGTTCGGACGGGGCCGCTGATGCTGCAGACCGTCGAGGCGGCTTGCTGGGAGTCGGGGACTGGGTCGAGGCGGCGGGGGGCTTGGAGCTCGAAGCCGCCTTTGGCGTGAAGAATGAAGTCAACGATTGCTGCTTCTTCCCAACCGGGGTGGACGTGGGAGGCATTGGGGGCGACTATGGCATCATTCGCTGGATCTCAATGGGGCAATTGCGAAGCCGGCTTGGGCCGTGATTGTGCTGCGTAGAGCTGCAGGCTCCTGAATAACGCGTACCTAGGGATTGATGGTTTGGCTCGCGAGACGCGTTGAGAGGTGAGGTTCCACTTTTGACCAGGTGCTGGTACATACGAAAGTGAGCGTGATTGAAGCTGGCACATGACATTTACCAAGTCAATTATATATTTAAAAAGCGAAGTCACTTGAGTAGGTATATGATACAATGGACATCAATTTATTTGGTTCGTATTTACATTCGTGGATGGCTATGTCTCCAAGTCCGCCCTGTCCACTGGCTGATTTTCTTAGCAGGCTTCGGCCGAGAACCACTAGTTAACGAGTTCACCTGAGTGAGGGTGGCGATCTACAAAAATCTTGTTAGTCAAAGGGCATGGGTATAACTTTCAAGGTTCATCGAAACACACAAATATGGAATCGACAGCATCACCCCAGCCTGATTTCGCAGGAGCGGCTAATAGCCTTCGTTCGACATGTGGCCGACAACTTTACGCTATGTGCTAATTTGCCCGCTATTCGTGGCGAGCTAAGCACCCGAATGGACCGCAAGTTTGAAGCTATAGACGGCAGGCTTGATGCTATGGACCGCAAGATAGAAACGGTGTTGCTTCTATTGCTGCTGTTGCTTCTGTTGCTTCTGTTGCTTCTATTGCTGTTGTTGCTGTTGTTGTTGCTGTTGTTGCTATTGTTGCTGTTGTTGCTGTTATTGCTGTTGTTGCTGTTATTGCTATTGTTGCTACTATTGCTATTGTTGCTGTTATTGCTGTTGTTGCTGTTGTTGCTTCTGCTGCTTCTGCTGCCTCCGCTGCTCGCCCCGCTATGGGTGGTATGTACCAGCAGCAGCAGCAGCTGTTCGCTTTGTCGCTGTTGACGCTGCTGCTGCTGCTGTTCTTATTGTGAGATGGTATTCGGGAAATGGGAACCCCTTAAAAAAAGTAATGGATGTAGATGGGAAGATGATGGGAATGTTCCGTTTGTACAAATTAACTCCTACCTAGGTATTAGGTAGGTAGTTGAGGGGCAAACGGCAGCTCCCGGCGCTCGGGCCACCAAGGGTAGCGAGATGTCGTTTGTATTTGTCCGAGTCATCTTGTTTGAGTAGGTAGTTATTCACTGCAAGCCCCCTACTCTGTGCGTACCCGTCTGTTCCTGAGTCCAACTCAGATTGCCAAGTCCAGCTGCGAAAGCTGGGAACACTTTGACGGAATATCGAAATGGAGCTGGCTTGGCATGAAAGATGAGCGCTTACAAGCCGGCCAGTCACAAAGTCGAGGTGTTGAAAGCTCGGCGCTTACACGCTGGGTCATCTGGGGGTACCAGCCAATCAGAAGTGGGCAGTCTGCGACCCACCGGAGGTGATAGTGCCCGAGGCCCACTGTGAGTCTATGGTACCTTGTACCTACTACTTACTACCACCATATTTTGCTCTTTCACTCTCCAACCAGTTGCAGCGATGTAGGTACCGGGACGCAGTGTGTTGCCACTCGCTGGCCAACTTGGTGGCTGCAGCTGGTAATTTGCAGCTTCACGACTGGTTTTCTGGACTGTTCATGTGGGCTCTGGCCTGCTTGTTGCCGCCCGTAGGTCAGGACCCCACAGACCCAGTCCCGAGATGCGACTGGTGTGAGTTTTGCCGTGAGCTTCTTGCGCTGGGCTGTGAGGGGTTCCAATTCCGAGCTGCCAGAAGCACAACGGCCACGCTCAGCACCAAATACTCTAGGTAGGCAATAATTCTCTAAATTGTCCTACAGCTCTTCATCCCACACCCTACCTACCTGTACCTAGCTTGCCCTGGCCCTGCCCCAATCCCACCTGCCCCAAGCCAAGGTCCTTGCTCGGCCTCCATACGTAAACCCGCCCAGCCCTCCTTACTCGACTCTTTTCCCTCATCCTCTGCACCACCTTGTTTTTCTTGTGACGACCTCAAGCTGCCGTGACTAGTTATCGCCGTCATTCTGCCATTCAACGCCGCAATCGAGATATCCGCGCATCTCTCAACAACCGCCTCTCCTCTCTTCCCACGTCAACGGATATATCCAGATCCTAGCGCGCGCGCCGGGCGGCCTATCCTGCGACCTGTTGGAGTCACCCCGCCACAAACGGCAGATTCGCGCTCAGTTTGTGTCACCATCTGTTGTGCTGCTCTCGATCTATATCTGCACACAGTTCTCTTCTCGATATATAGCTGCGCACAATTCTCCTCTCGATTTATATCTGCGCCTACCCTCGTCAAGCACGCCTAGTAGATCGCGCTCCGCTGCCCTGGCCTTGCATCACAGAAGCTTCGAACCAAGAGTAAAGCCAGAACAATGGAGACTGCTAGCCGCGGCATTCCCGATCAGGAAATGTTCCTGAGCAGGCCTGTTCCGGAAGACGGCAGCGACAGCCCGACTGTCGAACCTCTGCGCATCTTCAAACCCACCAGTCCTCAGCCGAACCCGCGCACCTCGTCAGCCTCAAACAGCAGACCTGCCTTTCCTCTACCGCCAGGTGCCTCAAGCTCCGCTGCGCCTCTACCTTTCCCAGACGACGACGAGATACACAAACCGACTCCTGCGAAGCGCTACGGAGCTGCTTATAACGATATCACCCCTCGCATAGATACCAGTCCGATTGATAAACGACCTGGTCTGGCTGAACGCCGTGGCGCTGCCCCCAAGCTAATTCACTCGCCATCTAGCCCTGACTCTGACCAAGGCTTATTCGCCCGACCACTCAAAGAGCAAGCCCGTCCTGCTGCACAGTCTTCGGCTTATTCCAACTATCAGAATAAGACTTACTACCCACCACCTGGAGCCGCTGCTTCGTCGTCGTCCGTATCTTCTGGCTCCTTGCCACAACCAGCAGCTGTCAACCATCTCAAGCAATCTGATCAGGTCGTGAATCGATTTCCCTCGACGGCCTCAAACTCGACGACGAAAGCTACACGCGGCTCTCCACCTCCCCCGGAGACCCCAATTGTTGAACCTGGTGTCATCCCTGGCGGAGGCATCGAGGCTCGCTATGCTGCATCTGGTATCTCCGGCACAGCAACTCTGACAAGCCTACAAGCCAGCCAGGCGCAGAGCGCTGCGGCTGCTCAGAGACTTGCACAGTATGGAAACCAGGCGCCCCAACCCCAGCGACCATGGACACCTACAGAGACGCCCGACCAAGCACCTTCGGGTCCTCCCACCGTGTACCAGGGATCTAATGTCATATCGAGCCCCCAACCGCAGAGAACTTACACAGCTCCACCTCAGCAGCCTATTCAGATTCAAGGTCACCAGAGAACCCAGAGTAACCACAGCAATCAGAGCAATCAGAGCAATCAAGGCAGTCAGGGCAGTCAGGGCAGTCAGGGTAGTCAAAGCAATCCGAACAGCAACCAGGGCAATCAACCAGTTCAGGTCAGCGTTCTGGAGCAAGATTTCCAACGCCTCGGCACCAGCTCGCCACCGCCCGCATACTCCAGCGTCAACCCAGGTGGAAATTCGGCATATCCGAACGAAAAGCGCCGACCGCAACAGAATGCTACTGCTCGCCCCGCGCCTGCCGCTACCCAGCCAGTTCAGGCGAACATTGCAACCTCGAATCAAAAACCAGCTGCTTCAACCTCATCTGCTGCTGCTGGACCTTCTGGCCCTGCTGCCATTGCCGCCCCAATACTCTCTCCAGCTCTGCAGCATCCTGGACACCCAGCCTTTGCCAATGATCCTCGGCCGGAGCAGGCTGCTGTACCTCAGCATAACGGTGCCCCGCCCGAGACCCAGACAATAGGTCCCGGACCGGCTTCACCACCGCCACTCCCGGAGGGCTGGATTGCTCATCTCGATCAGAACTCTGGCCAGTATTATTATATTCATCTTGCGTCTCAGGCAACTCAATGGGAATTCCCCAAGGGTCCAAACCCGATTCAGCCCGAACAGACGCCATTATCTCCTACGGCCTCGACATACGGAAATCCACTCATGTCTCCCGTGTTTGGTAAACAAAACCTAGCATCACCCATGTTTCCTCCGCACACTCCTGGGTATGCAGAGAGCATCATGAGCGTCGCAGTTTCCCAAGCTCCCACTGCTGGATTTTCTGGCCCCCCTCCCTCTGCAGGTGTAGATATGTATCGAGTTCAGCCGACAAACGGTGTCTACTTTGGGCCTTATCTGCGCTATGTCAACATGGATATCGAAAACGGGAACTGGCATGGTAGCATACTGATTGTTACGGATTCTCCTCAACCACCCACCATTCACATCCATCTCAGCGCTGATCTGTCACCCAGCCCGAGACAGCTAGAGCCTCACGCCATTTACACTCACCAACGATGGACATTCTACAAGTACGATATTGATCTTCAGATGAGTGAGGGGGGTACAGAAAGGTGGACATATGCTGTGACTTCACATCTTGGATGCACTCGGTACGAGTTCGTCGTTGCCGGTCGGTATGAGACAGGTTGGAGATTTATCGCCCATTCCGGAAACGATTTTGCAGCCAGCACATCTCAAAATGAGCGCGCAAAGCTTGGCGGCATTGGGTTTATGTGGAAAGATGTCTTGCAGAAGAACGTCGATTGCGGAGGCTTTCACGCGCAACTGGGTCTGGGTGATCAGATCTACGGAGACCGACTGTGGAAAGAAGTACCTCTTCTGAAGCAGTGGCTCGCCATGAGCGGTCGCGATAACAAAAAGGGCACACAATGGACGGCGCGCCATGAGGAGGATGTATTACACGCCTATTTCCACTACTACACCAGCCATTTTGATCAACCATTTTTGCGCGAGGCATTTGCCCAGATTCCTCATGTCCTACAAATTGACGATCACGACATCTTCGATGGATATGGATCGTATCCGCAGTACATGCAAGCTTCGCCGGTTTTCAAGAATATTGGCCGCATTGCCACTGAGATGTATCTCTTATTCCAGCATCATACAACGGTAGACATTATGAGAAATGTCAGAACCGACCACGATATTTTTACCGTGACTGGAACTGGGTGGCATTTTGTCAAATATCTAGGGCCCGGCATGGCCGTCATCGGCACTGACTGCCGATCTGAACGAACACAAGCGCGGGTCATGGCCGGACCTACATATCAGGGCATCTTCCCCAAAGTGGCCACACTTCCGCCCAGTGTTCAGCATGTCATGTGGATGGTATCGGTGCCACTCATCTTCCCTCGACTGGAAGCTGTCGAAAGTTTTGCCAACACTGTCGCGGCTGGTAAAAAGGCCGTGAACACGACGTACAACATCTTGGGCAAGGTTACGAGCTCGGTTGCAGGTGTTGTGGGCGGCAAAGAGGTTGTAGCTCAAGGTTTCTCTCAGGTCAAGAAGGCTGTGGGCAAAGGCGGGCTGATGGGGAATGTGCTCAACCAGTTTGGCGAGCTTGATATTCAAGAGGTACTCAAGGATATGTGGACGCACGACACCAAGGACCTGGAGCGAACATATTTTATTCGTACTCTGCAAGGCATCGCACAGCAAAAGGGAGTTCGCATGACATTCCTTTCAGGAGGTAGGACTTTTGATGTATTTGCCGAATTTTACAAAACTAACCCGGGATAGATGTCAACGCGGCGGGAGCTGGGCTTGTTCACGATCCCACCCATCCTGGCGACCACAAGACCATGTACCAGATTATTACCTCGCCTATTGTAGCAGCACCCCAAGGCGGCTACGTGCTGAAACTGTTGCATAACCAAAAAACGCTCTATGTGCCGCAAAACGGCCAAAAGTCGACGCACGAAGTGTCCGACACAAAGGAGGACATGATGGAGATTTTCCACAACGATGCCAGCGGAGGCGTGCGAGAGCTCAAGAAACTCATGGGACGCCGAAACTATGCGGCGTTTGTCGCGTACGACCACGAGGCCATCATGGCGCAGAGCCAGCCGCCATTCAGCCCCAACCCCAGCGTCAACAGCTCGCAGCAGGGTTTGAGCAAACTGAGCTTGGCGGTTGATTTTGTGGTGCAAGGCGACGGACCCTATGCGGCCACGACCAAGTATGGGCCGGTCATTATCCCGCATCTTGAGTTTGGTAGGTAGGAATCGAGGGGAGGAAGGATGTGATTTGTGGCGCGACATTTTTGGAATGGTTGATGAGGCAAAGTTGATTTTTCGGGTTTGGACATACCTTGGATATAGTTGACTGGCGAACACGGCATCATTGTAGCTACTTTTTGTTTACTCTGCTTAAATTCGTTTTTCTATTTTGTCGCTTGATAGAATGCAATATTGAATTGGATGCTCGATGAGGGGGCAGGCACCTTGCACAACAACTCCCATCTACGTGGAGGAAAGAGCACCGAACGGCGACTAGCTCAGTTTCGCGACGTGCTGAACGGTTTGGGGCCGGATTTCGATGAGCTGGTTGCACTGTGGGAGACGGGGGGTTTCTCGGACGTCACCGACGCTGACGGTATTCATTGTGCGGTCGCGAGGAGCAGAGACTCTTAGACATCACTGACGCAACCCACTTTAATAACTCAGCCACCAAACCCAGCCACGCGGGACGAAGCCACCCACCAACCTGTTAGATCCCAGGCCGTTCTCAGGCCCAACCGGCTTCTTCCAGCGGGCTTCGCCCCCGCTGTAGCGAAAAGCCCCCACTTGTCGTCGTCATCTTTATGGAAATAGCAACAAGCCCGAGAACAATGACCAACTCGTTTACACTGTAAAGACTAACACTTTCCCGTTTCCTGACACCCATCTTTGTACAAAATCCTGCACACAGTTCTTCTTCTTCAAAGAATGTTGGCCTGTATCCTGTAGCGCGTTCGAAAAGCCGCTGTACACACCAAGAACCAAGAAATCATCAGCTCGGGTTTCGGATTCAGAGAACAATGGCCTAACAACTAACAGCGTCAGCATCAACCCCGTCAATGCAGATTGGGATCCACAACCAGCCGCTTGCCGGGCAGTGCCAGTACCCCAAAAAAACGCCTCGCAACTTGTTCTTACTGTTCTTACTGTCTTACTGTAGGCGAGCCCAGGCGGCCAACCTGATATAACATATTCTGAACAACCCCGGCGACAAATCCATCTCTTATTTCCTTTTTCCTGTTCCGATCCGATTCTCGATCCTACACAATTTTCCTATCGGCACATCTTCCACCACCCCCCAAACATCCCAACACACACAAACGCATGCAAACGAATCCCGCATCACCACCATCACCATGTCCAGAGGCACCTCGCTCGGCCTCAAGACGGTCCAGTGGCTCCTCCGCTGCGTGCAGCTGCTGTGCGCCGTCATCGTCCTCGGCATCTACGCCTACTTCCTCGCCGCCCTCGCCAACCACGCGCTGCCGACGCCGACGAACGTAAAGGCCGTCGAGGGCGTCGCCGGCGTCGCCGCCGCCTACGCCCTGCTTGGCCTGCTGCTGCTCTGCTGCCTCGCCGGCCGCACTCTCGCCTCCTTTGCCGCCATGTGTCTCGATTTCGCCTTTCTCTGCGCCTATATCTTTGTTGCCGTCGCCAACAAGGGCGGCGCGGGCAGCTGCACCGGCGACGTCACCACCGTCTTTGGCAGCGGCAAGGCCGAGGACACGCTCAAGGCCGGCCCCGGCTTCACCAAGATCCCGAGCTACCGCACCGCGTGCAAGCTCCAGACGGCGTGTCTCTCCATTGCCATCATTGCCATGTAAGTTGTTCCCACCCCACACCCATATGGAGGACGACAGCTCACACGTCTACGCACAAGCTTCTTCTACATCTTCTCGTTCTTTGTCGAGCTGGCGCTCGGCCGCAACCACCACCGCGAGAAGCGCCTCGCCAACTCGCCGCCGCAGATGCAGATGCCCTTTGCCGAGAACCCGTACAGCAACTACCAGCCCGAGCCGCCGCAGCGCCGGACAGGCTTCCTCGGCCGCGTCTTTGGCCGCGGCGACCGCGGCGGCGGCCAGCACGCGCTGCCTCAGCACGACCCCAATACCCTCCCCGCACACGCCCAACCCGACGACATGCCCAACCGCGACTCGCAGGTCACCGCCGTCGGCCAGGAGCTGTCCCCGTACAACAAGTACGAGACGGGCTACGGCAACGCCGCCGCTGCTGCCGACTCCTCCCCGGTGTCTCACAGCCCTACAGTCGCCGGCCACACGGGCGAGGCCGCGACGACGACGACGTACACGTATCCCTATGCTGGTGACACGTACACGCACGCAGGCGACCCGTACACACATGCCGGGGACCACTACGGCCATGCGGGCGATGATTACCACTACCACAGCAACGCCGCTGGCGCTGCTGCCGGCGCCCACAATATGGGGACACTTCCATACCCCGCGGACGACCCGTACGAGCCGCACCGCGCCTCGCCGCCTCGCCTCCAGACTACACCACGGTATCCGGACCCGAGCCACCATTACAATGACGGCATCTACGACCGCCCGTAAGGAAGCAAAAAAGAAAAACAGAAAAACAAATAACTTGAATATGACGCGCACATGTATTACACCACAATGGGTACACAGACTTTTGTTTTCTTGGCTTTTGGTTGCTGGTTTCAACGGGATATGCATGGACACGGGTCACTGGATGATACCTCCTCACGGCGTTCTTTGTATATTTGACGCCTCAGTTTTGTCTATATTGTTAATATTAATGATATCAATCAGTTGGCTACATGAATTATATGCTAGTAACTTTCTTCTAGACTATGAGCGTACTTTGATGATTCCACGTTGCCAAGTCGATACTTGAGCCGCAGGCTTGTCGCTTCACTCGAGCTATCAACATACTGCTTTGTTACCAATTCTCCACCTCGCTTATTCCATCATCACCGCTCATGTCAGTCCAGTCCATATCTAGCTTCTCCAACTCGCGGGTGAAAAAGTCTTGCTGAATCGTGTGCCCGTGACGTTGGTGCTGCTGCTGATTCTCCTTGTACTCGGCTGCTGTCGTGGGGATTCCGCCCAGCGTCTTGTCCGGGTACCGGCGAATGTTGAACCAGTGTGTGAGGCCGCGGAGCGCCTGCTCCAGCGGCAGGGCCGAGTCAACCTCGGCGTCAATATCGCTACCCGCCAGCCACTCGTCACGCAGCTCCGGCCGGCAATGTAGGTACACGGCCGTGATGACGCGCATGTTGCTCTGGCGCCATTTGCGCCCACAGTACGGCACCTGGTTCTTGAACAGTTTCAGCGTGTACAGCCGCAGTTCGGGCTGGGGGATCCGCAGCGACTTGCGCAGAATCGTTGACGACTTGTACTGCACAAGGAGCAGGTTGCGATGGGCCTTGCCCTTGCAAATCTTTTGCATTACCCGCAAGTAGTTGATCAGCGAGAAGAAATTGCGCCAGGAAAAGTCCGTAATCGGCTCCACAGGCAGCTCGTTGACTGGGTAGCCAAGTTCGTCGACCTCTGGCCGCATGCTCCGATTGCCATCTTCCTCAGGGGATAGGCTTGTCGGCTCTGCAGTCTGAAGATCCTGCGCCGCCTCGGCCGGCGGGGATCGATACTTCTTGATTGGGGGCGGAGCTGCGCTGTCATCGCTTTCCTCCACCTCACTTTCTGGTTCGCCAGGGCCATCAGCCTGGTCCTCGCCGTCCTCATCTTCATCCTCATGATCAAGATCACTATCTGTCCCATCCTTGAATCGGGATCGTAGATTGCAGAATTGGAAAAAGCTTTGGGGGAATGTTAGCACGAGAAGACGTGTCGGAGATTTCTGGACAAACCTGTTCTCCATACGATCCATTTTGCTGTCGACAACTTGCTGCACATCCTGATGGGCAAACAGCTTGAGCACAAGCGGTACATAGTTCGAGTCTAGCAAGAGCTGAGTCATATACTCGAACCGCAAAACGTCTGTTCCGTGTTAGCCCATAGATCGCTGTCGCGCTCACCCTGCCCCTGATCGAAATACTCACGCGATAGTCTTAGCCACTTCAGTAGCAGCACCAGTATACCCGACATAGCTTTAGTTGTGATTTCTCTCGTTCTAGCAGCGTCTACTTCCTCTGGGGACAGCTCGGGGGCGTCTCCGCCTGCTCTTCCGTTATCAGCATTAGGCCCACCGTTCATGCCTGGTCCATTACGACCTGGCATGCCCTGGTTCATGTGTGGGCCTTGAGGACCTTGCTGTGCTACAATGGCCGCAACATTGGCAAAGACTGGTCGCAGCAGCACAATAACCAAGGATTGCAGATGAGGCAATGCTTGATGCTGTATCATCATTAGCATCAACTCGTTAATCGATTGTTGGAGGACTCACGTAGAAACTCTCTACAGCTTCCATCCGCTTCTTGTCTCTGTCGGTCATCTCCGCCGTTCGCGGGCCGTAATCAACAGCTTCTGCTGGCGCAACTGGTATACGCGTTTCCTTATCCGCGCCCTTCACCTCTCTGATCAGTTCTCTTTCTTCCTCTGTGAGTTCGCTGAGGTCCAGCGCTTCAACATCGTCATCGTCCTCATCCGGCTCCCAGCCACGCTCGAACTTGAGAAAACCCTCTCTCTCATCCCACAGCTGCCTGGTGGCTCTAGTCATTCGCACTCTCGTGGAGAAGAGCTCGCCCGCTTCCAAGATAGACGCGGGGATATCGCTGCCTTCCCATCGGCGGTTAATGGTATCGTCGAGTGCCGCAAGTCCCTTGCCGCCAGCGCTATTACTTGTGGCGTCAAGTGGCGGGTACATGAATGGGAAGTTCTGATTTGTCTGATAGTTCTGCTTCTTACCGCCCTTACCTCCGACGCCGGGCGATGGTGGCGGTGATGGAGCCGGCGTAGCAATATGGACTGGTTGGTGTAGAATACTGGCGCCACCAATTTGTGAGTTCGTTGGCGCAGGTAGGATGCCATTGGAGCCGCTGTTTCGGGCCGGATGCTGGGGAAGTGGTGGAAGTAGGGATGTGTTTTCGTCTTCGAGGGGGATGGCGGGCCGGGGAGGAACGTAAGCAGGATATTTAGAGGTTATCTCTTGGCGGAAGACGTGGTAGTCTAGCGGTGATGCAGTAATTGTTTGCTTGTCTTGGTTCTCGCTCAGTTCGCTGGTGGCCTTTTTGACTCTCTGTAAGTCCTTGGTACCGCCGAACACGAGCAAAATAGACTTCCAAAATAGCAATAGAATTTGCGGCTGCGGGAGAGCATTCTGTTCATCCCATCTCAGTTTCATTGTCGCCGTCATCATGAATTCAGTTAGAGGTGGCTGTAGCTCAAGAAGTTTTCCGTATGACGCGGACATGTCTTCAGGGTCGCTGAGAACCTCTTGGAGAGCAATATACATGATGGTCATGAGGTTCATCAGCTCATCATGCGGCTCCTGTGGGCTGCCCTGGCTGCCGGATTGGGAATTTGGTACATCCCCAGACCAATGAAGCTCGAACGCGTGCCTCAAGGCCTCCCACACGACTGGTAAGCCCTCAAGCGAAGCGAGGCATTCGACACCTGCCTTGATCGCCTGCAGCTGCATGATACTTGCTATTGATCGGCCAGGTCCCTTGCTCCTCGTTGCTCCGTCACCGTCTTTTTCTTCGTCGTCGTCTGGCGCCACCGTGTTGGGCATGGCGGTGTCTCCCCAGCGACCCAGCACGAGATACACCAGCTTCCCGATCGAGGCTGAGCGCAACGCCGCGTCGTTGGACTGCACACCGGCAATCGCCGCCTGGACGAATCTCGTGCGAGTATCGTGGTCCGCATCCTCCCAGGCGACCTCGTAGCCGCCCTGACTGCTGCCCATAGTCTCGTGGCTCCAGTGCCACTCAAACGCCTTTTGCGCGGAGCTGAGGCGCACCCACTGCCAGAATTGGTACATGAACCACTCGTCAATCTCCTCTGCGTGCGGTCCCATGTCGGCGTAGACAAAGTCGTAGGCCGGCTGCTCGGGCCGGTTCACCTCGTTAACGATCTTGCGGAGCTGCGCCAGGGACAGCGAGTCTGTCGGGAGGGGCGGCGCGGGCGCCTGTGGCATAGGTATCGCAGAGTTGCCTCCATATTGCGGCGAGTCGAGCGTAATTCGTTGCAGGGCGTTTCGCTGCAAATTCGGCCTCATGGCGTTGGGCGGCAGGGGCCTCTCGGTTGACTCTGTGCCCAGCCTCCCACCGGCCACCTGGCCCGTGTCCTTGACGTCCATCTCTATATCGGGATTTGTGGGATCGTCGTCTACCGACACCTCGGTGATAGAGGTGGTGGGAGCCCTTGCGGTCGCAGCTGGGCTCTCGGCCGACCCGTCGTCGTTGGCCGCGGCTGACGAGCTCATGGCCACGAGTAACGCTTCGGTGGCAAGGCCGTCCGCGGACAACAGACAAGCACAAAGATACAAGTGCACGTAAGGGAGTCCGAAAGGTTTCAGGAGCCTCTTCAGTCGCTATGTGCCCTTTGCTTTTCGTCAACTCGTAGGTCCGACTGCTTAGCGAGAGCGAACCTGTCGAGCTCGTCACAGACCCTTATTGCTCCATCAATTGTCGCTGCGCGGGAGAGGATCTCGGCAGAGCGTGTTCACCGAAACCCCCGGGTTTTCCGTCGTATATTATAATCGAAAAAGGCTTTGGGTCATCCCGGTGCCCTTGTGTCGATATTTTCGTTGTCGCGTGTTTGATGGATCTTAGGTTGGCGGACCTCAAGCTATCCAGATTGGGGCGACATCGCGAAGCAAGTGCTCATTGGCTGGTGGGGTTGCTGCCACAGTCAGAGCTAGGTTATCACAACTATTAGCAAGGGCCCTTCATACTTGTATTTTCTATAAATGTTTCATCTCGAGACGCGGTAACATTTCTTTCTTGGGTTCGTGAATTCGTTATATATTTACAGCTTTTCCTTGTTCATTCTCTGATGAGCTGGATCTACTCGTCGTCAGAGTCGCTGGCGGTATCGACAGCATCTGCCTCGCCGCCAGTCGCCGACTTCTTTTCCTTCTCCTTGGCGCGCTTCCTCAGCTTCTTTATTCTGTTGAGCCTCTTTTTCTTATCCTTGAGGCTCTCTTCCTTTTCCGCGTTTTTCTTGGCAGCTACTTCTACTGCCCGTGCCTTTGCCGTAGCGCGTTGGCGCAACAGAATCCGCTTCTTCTTGCCTGGCCTCTTCATTTTGACAACTTCCTCTGTATTCCCCGTCAAAATTTTGACGGACTTGTCGCTCGCTTTCGTTTTGCGCGTCGCGCTAATGGTAATCACCTTCCATGGCATCGCCATGCCCCATGGCGGTTGCTTAGACCGCCGTGTAATAGTGTCGGCTGTGACAGCCGCGTAGCTGTACTCTTCCTGTGCCTTTGCCGACGGCGCCTTGCTCATGTAGAATGACAAGGGTCGAGGCCTCACAAAAGCGCCGTCACCCAGATCTTCATCATCGTTTTCCAGTATCACTTTGGCTGGCCTGGTCGAGCCGGTTGTGCTAAAGAGGTTGAATTCATAGCCTTGATCTTCCCCGGCTTCTCCATCGCCGTCGGCTTGGGCACTACTCGTCCTTTGCGTAGGGGTAGAAGTATGGTCTCGAAGCGCCTCCGCGGGAGCTGGTGGCTCGTCATCGTCGTCGTCAAATCCCAGCGCCGCGGCGATTTGCGCATTCACTCGGGCCTGTATTTCTGCATCGTCTCCGACTACATAGTCTGCATCCACGTCGGACTGATCGGAGTCTCGCAGGTCCTCGCGCCGAACTCTGTTAGAAACGAAAGATTAGCATTCATCACGTCCCGAGTCTCTTCGTACGGCCATCGGGGGATCCGCAACACCGTGTGCGAAGTATAGCTGAGACTGACCTTTTCGCCTCCGGAACCTCAAACATGGCGCCTGGAAGGCGGGTTGGGGCGCGAAGAGGGCAGCGCGTCCCGAGAGTCGAGAATCGTGGGTTAAAATGCTCTTCGCTCAGGGCCCGCTTATCAACCGGTGAAGCGGACAGCGCAATACCCAAAGGTACCAGTGACTAGGTATATCAATACGATCTCTGGAGTTCGGTTTCATAGGAGTAACGGGAAGGCACGGCTTGATCAGTTCTCGTAGACGCCGTAGGAGCATGCCATGTCGCAACTTTTTTCCGTGGTGTCTTGACCCACCAAATCTTCATTAGGCTTCACCACCATCTTTTGCCGCGAAATTCGATTTGCTAGTGTTTATGACATCATGGTTTTGAATCAACTCAATTTATTTTGTACTGTCGGCCATTCGAGGAGTCATCTGGCTTCCTCTCATTTCTAAATGTATTCTCATTTGTAGACTTCGAGGTATCTTCGAGGTTGATCTTCGAGGTTGAAGGTATGGCACTTATTTGGCTCGGCTACGGCGCCTTCCTATACAGAACTGACTGAACACGCTCATAAATCATTCCATTCACTTCCTATTCCTGCTAGACTCTGATAAAAGAATTTCCTGATAATAGGTTGTGCGCGTCTTGTTTCAAGTATCGTTGGTTACAAAATCCTGGATAGTACAAAAGATAGTTCTTCCCGCAATAGCATTACACATTTCCAACATCAGACGACGGTGCGGGAGAAAAGAGGACACTGTCAGAGGTGGCAAGGTCCTCGTCAGTTTGCTTCTTCAGGCGCGTGGCTTGCGCAGGTTGTCGTTGGCTCCGCTGAGGCTGCCTGTGGGGGCGACTATGCCGTCTCAACATCTTCCTCAGCTTCCGCGTCCTCGTCCTCCTCGTCCTCCTCGCCGGCATTGGCATCCTGGTCTTCCTGGGCCAGCTGCTCCTCAGCAGCATCCGCGTTGCTCTTGCGACCGCGGCCCTTGCGCTTGGAGGCGGTGGGCGTCTCCAGACCTACGGCATCGGAGGCACGAGGACGACGGCCGCGCCTGGCACCACCCTCATCAGCGGGTGTCGCAGCAGCCGATGATGGTCTACCACGGGGGCGACCGGTAGAGGTAGCGGTCTTCTTGGGGGTGGCCTTGGCTGCGGCAGGCTTGGCGCCGCTGCCCTTGGGACGGCCACGGGGCTTGCCAGTAGGAACGTAGGCGGGCTTTGGAGTCTTGCCGGTGGGTGGACGTCCGCGGGGTTTGCCAGAGGGCACGTAGACCTTCTTGACGCCGCCCGATGGGGGTCGACCGCGACCGCGCTTGGCAGTCGCGTCACCAGCGGCGGTGGTGTTCGCGTCTTCAGGTGTCTTTGCCATGGTGTGGATAATTCTCTTGTGTGCGATGTGGAAGGATGCCTTGGGCGGGTGAAATGGGTAGCGCGATGGGTGTTGGTGGGCGATGGCTTTGCGCGCAAACAGAAAAAGCCCAGGGAGGCGAATAGCAGATAGATAGCGGTCGCAGAGCCCCAAGTTGAACAATTGAGACGCAGCGAAAATAACTCCGAAGAGGAAACAATCCGCGAATAAAAAAGGTCACGGCGAGAGATGGACGCGCAAACGGGTTGGGATGAAGAGAGATGTTTATGAGAAGCGCGCGCGACGCGACAAGGCAATCTGGAGCGGTGGTTGGAGACCAGGAGCAATGGTGGAGGGTACAGAGGTACATGGCGAGATGGGGCCGTGACAGAGGCGAGCTAGCGAGCCAATCAAAGGCAAGCAGCTTGCAGCGCTCAACCGTGAATGGCTGTGGGAGTGGGGAGAACAGGTAAGCCCGATATGGCTTAGCGCTCTTCTGGTCTGCGGGAGCCACAGCGGTGCAGCCACCTGAACCACCTGAACGGATAGGGATGCTTGTACTAATGTATCAGGTTACAGGGCCTTTGATGACGCAGGTTAACAAGTTACCTATGGATGTAGGGGCAAAGTGACAACAAACATGATGCTTGCTATCAAGTTCCTGCTAAACATGTATCATTTTCTTTATTATTTTTTCTTTTTTACTTTTACTTTTTTTTTTTTCCAAAATTTTCATTGTTCTTGTTTATTATTGACCAAAGCAAACGGCCGCTGGGGTTAAATTACCTAATCTGAGGTACCTGATAACGGTAACAACCACCACCCCTGCCTAACAAATAAGCTTCAACCCTGTCATCTGTTTACCCCGGCAACAGCTAGTAAACAAAGTGCTCCAAGGCCCCGATATCACGAATGTGGCACATTCTTTGTCAACGACGCCGTGACAGCATCGACGATATCATTGACAAATTAATTACCATGGCTGTGGATGCCCGTCTGATGCCATACTCTGCCCCCAATACCCCCGAGCCGCGTTTGGTTCGATCTACTGCTTCAACACCTTCCCTGCGATCTCGCGATGGTACGCTGCCCATGCTCGCTAGGATGGATGGAGGCGGCAATGTCAGAGTCGTTGTTCGTGTGAGGGCCTTTCTGAAAAGAGGTAGATAGTTTTCCTCTCGTCCGCTCCCTATTACCTACCGCCTAACATCTTCAGAACTCGAGCGCAATACACGATGCCTTGTCAAAATGCACCCCGTCTCTCAACAAACAACGTTACTGGCTCCAGACGAAGAGGAGCAGCCCGGCCCCAAGTCGAAGTCTCGTAAAATCACTGAAGACAAAAATTTCACCTTCGACTCGTCCTTTTGGAGCCATGACACAAACGATGACCACTACGCACATCAAGAAGACGTCTATAACGCCCTCGGCGAAGAGTTTCTTGACCACAACTTTGAAGGCTACCATACCTGTATCTTCGCCTACGGCCAGACTGGCTCTGGCAAGAGCTATACCATGATGGGCACCCCCGACCAGCCTGGTCTTATTCCCCGAACTTGCGAAGACTTGTTTGAGCGTATCCAGGCTGCCCAAAACGAAGACACAAATATTGCCTACAATGTTCGCGTCTCCTATTTTGAGGTCTACAACGAACATGTCCGGGATCTTCTTGTCCCTGTCAATACAAGTCTCCCGCCCAACTATCTCAAGATACGCGAATCACCGACCGAAGGCCCTTACGTCAAGGATCTCACCGAAGTCCCTGTGCGCAGTATCGGCGAGATTCTGCGCCACATGAAGAACGGCGACGCCTCCAGAACTACGGCTAGTACCAAGATGAACGATACCAGTAGCAGAAGTCATGCGGTCTTTACCATTATGCTGCGCCAGATTCATCATGACATGGAGACGGATGAGACGACGGAGCGCAGCTCACGTATCCGACTTGTTGATCTGGCTGGCAGTGAGCGGGCCAAATCTACTGAAGCTACCGGTGCCCGTCTGCGCGAAGGCTCCAATATTAACAAGTCTCTCACCACTCTTGGCCGCGTCATTGCTGCCCTCGCGGACCCAAAGACGCTTCGACCGGGCACCAAACGTAAGGAAGTAGTCCCTTACCGAGACTCGATCCTCACTTGGCTGCTCAAGGATTCTCTCGGTGGCAACAGTAAAACTGCGATGATTGCATGCATCGCCCCCTCCGATTACGATGAGACGCTCTCCACGCTACGATACGCCGACCAAGCCAAGCGCATCCGCACCCGCGCTGTTGTCAATCAGGACCAAATGTCCACTGCCGAACGCGATGCTCAAATTACTGCCATGGCTGACGAAATTCGTTCGCTACAAATGTCTGTATCTGACTCATCGCGACAGCGCGAAAAGAACGCCAAAGACGCTGAGGAGCGTCTTGATGAGTACCAGCAACGCGTCACGACAATGCAACGCCTCATGGAAGAGCGGGGGATGGTGGCCGAGAGCAAGATCAAAAAGTTGCAAACAGAGAATGAGGCCCTCAAGCTACATCTCAAGCTAGCCATTGAGAGCATAAAGAACCCCATTTCCCCTGTGCAGGTCGACTCGTTTGACAACGAGAGCAAGGAGAATGTTGCGAACAGTATCCATGAGGATCAATCTGACGAAGAGGACGATGATTATGATTACGACTCCGATAGCACAGTCAATGGCGGCGACGAGTTGCAGGAGGAGATGCAGCGCTACCTACAGGACATGGGCAATCTACGCAAGCTCATTGGCGGCGATTTGCTGCGGTTCAAAGACGAGGCAAGTGTTCGCATGCCACTTGGTGTGAGGGAGAATGTATAGGCAAAAATGAGAATTGCGACCCTGGACTTGAGATTTACATGCAGCATGGTGTTTGGGTATATTTATACGTCATATTTATTTCCTACCTTTTCCTTCTTGATTAGCTGACAAAGTATTATTATATTGGACAAGAATAAATTCAACAGTTGAATTATAATTTCTATCTGAACCGAAATCGTGGGAGCGCTGTAGCTGGATTTAGTATTTACTTATCCAACAAAGAAACAGCCATCCACACTGCCCGCTGGAAGAGCGAACCGTGACCATGGCCGAACGAGATTTGGACAGCTGCTTCAACAGGAAAAAGGCTTCAGGTAAGCATAGTAGAACGCAAGAAAAAAGAAAACAGTCCAACAACTAGTCAACAGAAAGACACCATATAATCTGTGACTCCAAAACAAAGAGTCTCCTTTCTGGCCAAGACTCAGGGGTATCAAATTGGAAAGCAAATAGGAGAGAAAATAAGAAGCAAGTCGTCTCTAGTAAGAAATGGGCAAGGGTAATCAGGTGAAGCGGTGAACCATACTGTCTGCCAAGATGGCCAACAAAGCTCGCCAGAAGGAAGCATATCAGGAGCGTGATGACGTGTGAAGAAGAAAAGTCGGTGAAATAGAAAAGCCTCGAGCGTTTGGTGGACCAAGTACAGTATCGCCAAAAAATGGCGTGAAAGGTTTTCAGTCTCATCAATCAGGCTGCAAACCACAAGATAAAGCCACAACACTGTGTCAAGACGACGAGATTTTTGGCTGACCCGCTCATGAAGGGCAAAAAGACTTCACCACATTTCTCTTTGGCTAGAGCCCTTGCCGCTGGAATCGACAAGGCCCTGGCTTTCGACACTGCTGTCGCGGATCATCTGGGAGGACGCCATGCGCCTCACGCGGAGCGGGCTGGCCCCCGGCACCGGGGACGGCGGCGGCACCTGCAGCAGCGGCGGCGTGTGGCAGCGGCGGAGGCGGCCCCTGCTCTCCAGCCCCGTCTCCCAGGCGTGCAGACGGACCTCGTCGGAGGAGAAGTCGGGCATCGTCCCAACGCGACGGCGCTCTGCGTACGCGTCCGGCACCGGGGGCATGGCGGCGAGGTGGAGGATCATCTCCGGCATGTAGCAGAGCAGCGGGGACTGGCGGAGGTGGTACGCCGAGACGCGGATCGTTCTGAGTCGTGCCACGATGTGCAGATGCCACGGCCGGTGCTCGGCATCGTAGCGCGCGACGAGCCGGTCCAGCGTCTCGTCGTTGAGGAACCGCGTCTTGGCGCCGGGCAGGAGGTCCTCGGGGAAGGTGTACTGGGCGCGGTAGCACGCGGCGTCGACCAGCTCGTTGGGCGGGAGCCGGAAGCTGCGGTGGACGGCGGGCGGGGGCGGCAGCGCCGCGTCGTCGTCGGTGGTGCCGGACCGGGCATCGCTGTTGTGGGAGTCGTCGCTGCTGCCGCTGCTGCTGTCGTCGGTCAGGTCGGGCGTTAGGGCCGAGTCGAGCCGGTCGTGCGACACGCGGCCGAGGTCGAGGAGGAAAGGGTGGGTGTTGAGGATGCACCGCGGCAGAGAGTGGACAGCATAGCCAGCAGCGTCAACAATAGGCATTCGGGTAGGGCTGTAGAATGTGCGGCACCAGCGGTCGGCGTCTTGCTGCGTCGCGCGCAGCTTCTCGGCGCTGTTGCCGTTGTTGAAGTAGTCGAGCAGCAGGCCGAGACCCTCGAGGAGCAGGGTCTCCGCCCTGTAGACGGGGCCCGGGCCAGAGAGGCTCCTGGACATGGCCCTTTGCCACGGGACGGCCTCAGAGGCGAACCGGTGGGCGATTTCGGCTTCTTGCTCGCTCATCATCCCCGTGAACACGGTGAGTGAGGGTTGGGAAGGTAAAGGGGATTCCTCTGAGGGGGGGGGAGACTCCTGAGTTTGACATGTCGGGGTCTTTTGTGGAATCAAGAAGGGGGATGATGAAAGGGAAGGAGGAAAGGGAATGATGAAACGGGGTGAGGGCAAAGAATTCGCGTTTTGTAAAAGAAGTTGTGGGTGGTGGAGACCTTGTTGATGATGGTGGTCAGTATTGGAAAGAGTTGACGAGGGTATAACAAAGAAACGAATGCATACAGCGTGTGTGTTAGGCACAGATTCTCCAGGGAGAGAGTCTATAGGGAGAGGAAGTCTATAGGGAGAGGAAGAAAAGAAGAAGCCAGGGGGGAATGTCGGCCATCCTATTTTATTCTTGTGTACTACAAGTGTCAGCGCCGGCGGGCGAGGCCCGCTGATGTTCTGACTATGCTTTACTATAAAGGAACTTTAACGCGAGCCGCCAGATTCTAAATATAGTCCGTCATTTCTACAAGGGCGGGCGTGTGAAAGCTGTCGTGTTGGCGCGGCGCTTATCGGATTCTAGCCGTGAAGCCATGCTGTCATCGACCAAAACCCTACCCTGTTGGTCGCTTACGTCGTCGTGAATTTGTGTGCTACGCCGCATCAAGCCAGTCCTACTTGCTACATTTCATTATCAAAGATTAAAATTTACTTTTTTGTCATGCGTAATCACTTCAAACACATTCAACCAGATGTTTTGCAACGCGTTCTCAGGGATATCCAAGGGTGGCGGTGCGACTTGTCGTCCAGGCCACAGACGCGCTAAATAGACTATGACAATCTCTTAAGTAAAAGATTGGTTTCTATGTAGCGTAATTTCTTTAAATACACCCAAACTGGCAAAAATTAGTTCCTCTCCACCTTGTCGCCCTGGTGAGGGCCGCAGACAAAGCGGCCGTCCACGAGCTTAATGGACAGTGGGTCGTTATCTTTCCCAGAACTTTAGTATACTGAATTTGATGGGACAACGCAAGATAATCCAAACTCACTATTGGGAGAAATGGCTAGGTCGGTGTATTTGGGGACGGCGTTGGGTGCGGGCAGGCAGTTGCACTTGAGGCCGACATTGTCGACAGGCCCATTATCCAGCTTGCCAATGCCGCAAGGGCCGCACGTCTGGTCAAAATTCCCACTATATAAGAGCCTTCGCGTTAGCTCCCTGTGGTCATTTACCTCTGCAGAAGGGGGCAGAAGGGGGAGGGTCACGTACTTGTCCCGCCAGGCCAGCTTGCCGGCGTCGTTGCCGATGCACAGGTTCAGGTTGAGGGTCGTCTGCCAGCGCTTGCCGGCGTCGTCGAGGCACCACGCGGTGATGGCCGTCTTGCCCTTCTTCCCGCTGCCCAGCTGGTTCATGTACTTGCACTTTTCGTCAAACGTGTCATAGGTGAGGCCTTGGGCGGCGGCGCCCGCGGCGAGGAGGGCGACGGCGACAATAGCAGAGTGCATAATGGAGCTTTGCTTGGAATAATGTATACAAGGTCTGGAATAGAAATGGCGGGACCGAAAACTGAGGTGAAAAAGGGAGTACTTTCATATATCAGTGTGGGATCATTCAATCTATATAGCAGGCTCTGGGCCGGGCTTCTTCGGCAGCGAGCCGAGTTGTAATGGGATATCGGTAGAGCATAAGCACTAAAATATGGAAAATATTCAAGATTCTGTGGGCAAAAAAACTGGCATGGTACAGTAATGTCTTGATTCTGGCGCAGCCGGCAGCTTTTACCATCCTTTCTAGCCGACACGACAATCACCAGGGTCTTTGAGCATCCGTCCACAAGCCCATGCCAACGCCAACTTGCAAACGAGGCTCGTGTCGACGTCCACATGGTTCTACAGGATCACTTGAGTTTTGCGACTGGCTCGCCTCGGTGAGTTTTTAAGTTTCGATTAGCTCGTCTTTGGGGCGGCGGCGGTGTCGTGGTCTCGGTGTAAGCGTGGGGCGGCCGCGGGCTGGCGGCCCAAAACGGAGAGAAACTCGGGCTGATGAAGCCGGGCGATGGAAAGCCCACCTCTGCTCGGCAGTCTCGATAGTGCTAAGCTCGAATTAGGGTGGACTCTTTTTGGCTCGGCTCGCCGTCCAAATGGGACCTCGTCGCTGATGCTGATGGAGCCCATGGTCGTGTTCCAAACCGGACGGCTGTGCAGTTCGAACACGACACAAAAGACTGGCGTGAACGATGGCTCCTCTTTACGCGTAGGGCATATTCATTGGGCATTGATTCCAGGATTTCAACACCATTGTTGTTGCAAAGTAGCGGTCCATTGCAAGCGAGTCAAACCGTTTGCTGTGAGAGGAACCCCCACGATGGACCCCACGATGAACTTGGTCATCGGCCAAGAGTAAAAGGGAGGAAAAGGCATCCAGTTAGTTTACAAATTCCCAATCAATACTCTGAGACTCACCTGATGCAAGGTGACGACTGCTGGGCCGAGTATCGTCCTCGTCACAGACATGCCCATATTTCTGCCATGCAAAAGATACGTGCGATATCTCTGTCCGCCATTCGCCGCCCCCGACCCGGCTTCCACGGAGATCAAACGGATTTGGCAGGCAGTGCAAAGCGTCGCCGGCCGATTGGTGCCGACTTATCCTCGTCGCCCAGCCGCCCGTGTTATGCCAGCAGGCGAATGAAGAGCTGCAGGCAGGGCTTATATGGGCCGCGATAGAATCTGAAACCTCTCTCCTCCCCATCGTTCGGGGCTGGAGAGGGGAGGAACTTGGGTTACGCCAAAGGCGTCGAGAGCGCGAAATCGAAGCTGCTTGGTACGCACGCACGCACGCTGGCGTCGACGGTCGGCATGAATTGTTTCGGAGCGGAAAATGGCCAACCTGCATTGCGGGATCATCGTGCGACAAAGTGACTGACGTTTGTAGACGTGTGCTGGCTTGTTTCAAGATGGGGGGGGGTTCGAGATGGGGGTGTGTGCTTCATCTTGTCGGGCGCCAAGTGTTTGGCAAAACGAATCCCTGTCCGAGTGAACTGCTGATAAAGGGGTCAGATTTCTGGATGCGGCTCTTGTATGATAAAGAATGGCCGCTCTTTTCTATCAAAATGTTGGGCAATGTCGAGCAGGTAATGAAAAAGGTACCAGGTTGATCGATCTGACCCATCTGACCCCTCGTCATCCCATCATCCCTCCAAAAGGTCCTCGCATTTTCCCCCACTCCGACGACCGCTCCGCTCGCATCGTTAGCCGCCAAGCCCCTCCTCCCATCCGTCAGACCACGGCGCAATTATATTACCAGCTTGCATTGCATTTGCTTCATTCTTTCCCTCCTCTTCTTCCAGTCCGCCGTTTTTTTTTATTCTACAGCGTCACTTCAATAGAAAATAGACAAAGAAAGCAAAAAATTCCCTTTGTCAACATGGCCGCCCGTCCGCAGCTCTTCACCCGCAATCTCGCCGGCGTGTCCCCGACCCCAGAGACCAACTCGCCCGCCGAGCAGCGCGACGATGCCAAGCGCAACTTTATGAAGGCGATGCGCGCGCTCCCGACGCAGCACTACTGGCACGTCTACTTTGACCGGTAACTGTGCCTTCTCCCGCCCTGCTCGCTTGAGCGACTGAACATTGCAACTAACCGTAGGGGGGGGGGGGACAATCCAGGAGCCAAACCAGCGACAACAAGCCCGCCGTCGACGGCGAGTACAATGTGCAGCTCGAAAAACTCGACATCCAGATCGAGTCGGTCCAGGACTTTTGGCGGTACAGCAACAACACGCCCGTCGCGCAAATCAAGATGCGCGAGTCGATATACCTCTTCAAGTCCGGCTTCCGGCCCGTCTGGGAGGACCGCCGCAACATCAACGGCGGCAGCTGGACCTTTCGCGTGCCCCGCGCCCAGGGGCCCGAGGTGTGGAAGACGGTGCAGCTGCTGGCCATTGGCGAGAGGCTCCAAGAAGTCCTGGGCGAGAGTGAGCGCGCCCCCTTGTCCAACCGGTTCACCTACCAAAAAGCTGCTAACACGAAAGCTCCCCCCTTTAGACGACCAAATCTGCGGCGTCGGCCTTTCCGTCCGCTTCAAGTACCACCTCATCACCGTCTGGAACCGCGACGGCAGCCAGCAAAAGTCCATTGACGGCATCTTTGCTTCCGTCGTCAAGGAGCTCCCCGAGGAGCTGCAGACGCGCGAGGAAAACTACTTTTACAAGAGACACGCCGACCACGAGGGCTTCAAAGTCCCGCCGGAGCTGCAGGGCGTCGTCGACGCGCACAAGCGCAACTCGCCGGGCAGCAGCGGCGGCGGCGGCTCGCCCGTCGTGGCGACGAGCGCGGATGCGCCCCAGGTGTCTATCCAGTCGCCGCAATAAGAAAAGAAGACGGGTTGATGTGATGACGTTGCATTTGGTTTTGGGGCAAGTGTCTTGGGAATATGGGCAAGCAAGATGGGATATATACTGCTATACGGGACCGACTCCCCACGGCGTTTTGGTTTTCTTTTTTTTTTCTCAAAGTTGGAATGATCTTCAGTTGGGATACATGCATAGCTAGTCTGCCAGAATGAAAAGTGTACAGTCACAAAGCATGCCGACATACCGCGGTACAATATCAAGAATCCCAATCATATGTATTATTGTACAGAGCATCACCGTATGTGCTTGTGGTACGTCCAACCAACGCCATGCTCAAAATCCAGGTATGCAAACCAAACGCCCAGAAACACAGAGCTAAACCATTGCATCTCCATCTCCTTTATACGCCCTACCATCCATGGCTTCCCTCTCCATCACACCACCTGCATTTCGTCACCGCCAGACGCCGGCCCTGCGCATCACCTCGTCAAACTCGTCCGTCCTGACGCCGCGCGCCACGCCCGCGCCGCCATTGGCCTCGAGAATCATATCCTTGAGCAGGTCCTCGTCGACGTCCTCCTTGAGCACGGCCGCCACGCGCCGCAGGTGCGCCAGCGTGATGGGCCCGTCCTGCTGGTTGGTGAAGAGCGCAAACGCCTCCGCGACCTGCGCCCGGTGCTGCGCCGCGTCGCCGCGCGCCGCCCTGCTGTGGAACTGCAGCGCCGCAATCGCGAAGAAGGGCTCGTACGTCGCGTACCCGTCGTCGTCGGGGTCCAGGATGGACAGGAACTCGCGGAGCTCCGCGGGGGAGGAGGGCGGCACGCCGAGAGCACTTGTTGTTTCCTACCATGAGCGCATGCTTCTTTTTTTTTTATATAGGTATACGTTTTGGGGGAGGGGGACGACGCACATGAGGGCCGACTTGACGTCGTCGATTGGTAGCACGCCATTCTTTTCTCCGTCGGCCGGCTCGGCAAACAGGCTGTAGGCTTCGCGGATCTCATTCTCTTCTTGCGCCGACACGTTGTGCTCCTTGGCGAGCTTGGACTGCCGCGGTGCTTTCGGCGCCGCAGCAGCGGCGGCGGCGGCGGCGGCGGGCTTGCGCTTCGGTGGCTGATGGAGGAATTAGCAGCGAGATGCGGAACATAGAGGGGTGTTCATGTGAACAAGGAATACACCGTTACCATTTGTGTAGTGGGGGAGGTGGCTTTTGGCGACGCGCCGTGTTATCGAAAGGCTGGGACGTTGTAGTCGTCAAGCCAATTCAACGATTCACGAGCCGTACCAGTGCGTGCATACAGTGCGGAACGGCTCTCCGAACAGTGTGGCTTCACCAGAACCCACTACAACATCTTTATTTAGCGTAACTGAAATTCTTCCTCTTCCCTTTTACTTCCCCTTCTTAAAAACAACCAGTGGCAGAAAATTCACTGCAGCGCGTCTCATTTCCCCGACCACAGTTGGAATTGTTGGATCGACGGGTGAATGGTACTCGCCAAAGTCTCCAATTGAATCATTCCCGACTCTCGGTTTACCGGAACTACGACGACGCGCAACGCCACCAAACGAAGCAAACTTTTACGTGAACATGCTCGAATCGACATCTCTTTTTCTGTTGCCCCGTGACCAATGACGATGAAATATTACCCGCTTCTAAAAATGCTAGAGCTTGCCGCCTCTTTCTTCACCAGGGCGAGCAAGTGTGGACAGTGAAGCAAGAAGAAACACCAGTCATGTCTGTTTTTCCTTCAAAAAACCGGCTTGATTCCAACGAGTGGCCTGCGGCATGTGTCTGGCTCGACCAGCTTTGTCTGTCTGTTCTTGGAGACATTCTTTCCTCTCTATGTGAATCGCTCCCCTATTTGTGACATCCTGCGCTCCTTTATTATTGTCCATTTCGTATTATTTGCTCCCCATGCCTGGGATGAACCATAGATATTGCCTCGCCAGCCTTCTCCATCTAAAAAGACGACCATATTATAAGCATCTACATGTGACTTTTCTACATTTTGGGTTCGGGTGGCCTGCACGCAAGCCCACGTTAGTATTCCCTGAGCCCTGTGTCGTGCGAAAGCAGAGAGCAACAATGTACTTCTCACTTGAAGCTGTTCTTCATCTCGCGCAGCTGAGCCATGACCTCGACGGGGTCGGTGGCGCCGGTGGCCTTTTGCACGATGGGATCGTCGAGGCGCATAAAGACATTGTGTTTCTAGCCAGCTGGTCAGTCGAGCTGCGTTTTCGCCCCTTGTCGGCCGCCAACGCACCTTTTCATCGGCAATGGTGAATTTGCCCGTGGTGACCTTGTTGTTCTCGGCATAGTCGTGCAGCGCCTTGACGGGGCCGCTTTGCAGGACAGAAATGGCAAACTGGACGTTGGCTTTGGTGTACTCGTGGCCGGGCTACATGCATTTCCTATTAGCACTTCATGTGCACTTCTTGTCAAGGGGGTTTGAGGCGCCAGAAACTCACATAGACGACTGTGTCATCCGGCAGGGAAGCCAGTCGCTTGTTGAGGGCCTCGTGCATCTCGGCGGCATTGCCTTCGAAGAATCGGCCGCACCCTGCACACTGGTCAGCCATTGTCCAACCTTTGCCAAAACAAGTGGGCGAAAAATGGCAACTCACCACTGATGAAGAGCGTGTCGCCGGTAAAGACGGCCTTGCCCGTGCTGTCCTCCATGTAGTAGCAGATACTATCTTGGGTGTGGCAGGGCGTGTGGACGGCCTTGACAGAGATTTCGCCAATCTTGAAGACCTCCTCGTGCTGGGGGGTCTGCGTGACGCCCTCGCAGTCCTTGCCGCCAATGATGCCGAGCTTGGGGTTGCCCAGCGCCGCAATCTACGCTGCGTGAGCCACTCATTCCATCATTTTCTTATAGAGAGGCGGCTTACCAGCTTCTTATTGCCGCCTGCGTGATCCCAATGGCTACAATACTGGTCAACTTGGCGTCTTCATACACCACGATTGCAGTGTTCCATACTGGTGGGTGTTGACGATGCTCGTCAGGTTAATCTTGCCGGCAGCGATGAAATCCTTGAGAACAGGCGCGACCCTACAGCAGTCCGTCAGTCCGTGGTGCCCTCTTCGCGTGACTACATCCGCCAAGACTCGTACTCGGGAGGATTAGCCGGGTCAATGATGACAGCGTCCTTGGTTTTATCGTCGATGACAAGGTAGGCATAGTTGTTACTGGTGCCCACCCCTGCGATAGCTGTGTTAGTATTCCAAAGCAGCTGTCCAGCATTTCGGGCCATCATCTCACCGTCCCCTTGCCCCTCTCGCCGCCGAGCCCGGTTCGCGAAACTTACACATGGGAATAGATTCGATATGCATGGCGCGAGAGACTGCGAGCTATTCAACACATTAGTTCTTGGCTCAAGAGTGAGTGAGTGAGTGGGCGGGGTGGCGGGGTGTTGTTGTTGGCGAGACGAGAAAAGCGTACAGCAGCAGAGAGATACCCGAAATTGTGTCGTAAAAGGGGCCGGTGCGGAATCAGTCTATTCATAAGTTTTTCAACGTGCGGCACGTAAGATGCTGCTTATTATTCGGGAAAAGATATCGATGAAGTGCTGTCAGACAAGCACTGGCGGGGAGAACGGCAAGCTTAGGTGAAGCTCCGCTCCAAGGTCATCCCACAAATATGACGTCGATTTGTAAGCATCGATCTCGGAGGGATGAGCTTTGTGCTAGTAAGGCTAGTAAGACGACAACGGGATGGATGATTTCTCATTGTGAGGGGTCCTTTGCCTTGTATAATTTATTTAACGCGGATTGTCTGAGCCTAACACGGCTTATGTGTTGTCGCGATTCTGATCAGAGTGCTTTACGACTGCGACTGGGGTAGCTTTGAGCTGGGTATCTAGGTTGAAAAGGAGAAACGCCTTACATACATGCAGCGCAGTACATTATACAATGCCGATTGGCTTTGGCTTCCACTGTCCATTGTATCTGGACCAGCCGAAATCGTCGTCGTCGGATTCTTCATCTTGAGCATCATCTGCTTCGAGCACTGTCGGTTCTGGCTCTTGCGACGGAGCATCAGCTTCTGCGGCAGCCGGGGCTCGCAGCCTCGTCTCTTCCAGCACGAGTAGCTCTTGCTTCAGCTTCATGCATTTGAGGTATACCTGGTTCCCAGGGAGTGTCGTCTGCAGGTCTTTGATGGTGGCCATGAGCTCTGTCATGTCCCATCTGCTCAGCTCGCGCGCAATCATGGCTTGTCTGCGCTGCTCATCCTCTTCGCGCAGATATCTGAGCATCGCCTCTTTACAAGAATCCTGCGGTGGGCAAGATGCGTCGTCGCCTTGGTCGAGCTGCTTCCAGTAATAGTCCCAGATCCAGTCGAGAGCCATGTGCGCCGCCGGACGCAGCTTGACGAGAGACGGCAGCTGCTCGTGGATGACTTGGTGGCGCAGCTCGACAAAGGTGGCCGGCAGGCCTATCAACTTGGCGATGGAATACATGCTCTGCTTGCGCAGCTTGTCCTGGTGGCCGTCGAGGAGTCCGGTGACGAATCTGTGGAGGAAGGCGGGAACAGGTCCCATACAGGTTAGCAAAATCTGGAGGCCTGCAGCACGTCGTAGTTTCCACCGCGTTCTCTTGTGGTCTCGTCATGGTGCCCGATACTGTGGCAAATCTGCCGCATCACTTGGGGCCACTCTCGTATTGCGTGAATGCTAGTCACTTTGCGTCCGCACTACTTGACCGGGATGGCATTTCAGGTTTTGCTGAGATGATTCCCGATTTCTGCCTTGGCTTGTTCGAGGCTCCCCATTCGGGGTCGATTGACCGAGATGAGGTAGAGTCGTTCAGTTTGGACCACGCAGCACAGGGCGCTAGCAGTGCAACAGTGGCATGGTTTCGTAAAAACGGGCAAGCCAAGGGGGCAGGCGAGACGACAAGAAAAAAAAAAGGCCAGGGGCAAAGAGTATGTGGGCGCGGGCGAAAAATGACAAGACTCACCGACTAAAGGCGGCCGAATAAGCAGCCCGGACCGCATAGGTGGACGAGCCAGCGCTCTGGGTCGCGGCGACCTTGTCGCTGAGGACAGCGGCGAAGAGCAGGGCGGTCGACTCCACCATGTGCGGGCAGCTACCTCGCTGCACCCACATGGAGATGCGCGCGACGGCGAGGTTCTGGCGGGTGCGTCGGGCATCATCGTCCTCGTGCGGCGGTGGTGGTAGCTCGTGGTCTCGTCTGTCGCCATAGAGCTGGTCGCGAACGAGGAGCAGCTCCTGGCGGTCGCGCCAGGGAGTAAAAATGTACTGGACCATCTTGGCTCGACCCCTGCCTGCGTGTTGCGTTGTGTGTGTAATTGCTCTGTGTATGCGCTGCTACCTCGCTATTGTTTGACGAGGCATGGCATCCGTCCGGAACCCAAAAAGTTGGAGGGGTGGATTCGTTGGATTTCGGATGATGACAGTCGAGGATTCGGTGGCTGGTTGGCAGCGGCGACTAGGGGGTTTGGGCGGTTGCCGTTCTTTTTTTGTCTATATTTTTTTTATTTTTAAAGTGGTTGATGGAGGGGTGAAGAGAAATGCAAGGAAGCGCAAAGTGGAAAGGTACAAGTGATGAATGCAAATGGTGTGTTTGGTGGCTGAGGCTGGCAGTGGCGCAGCCCCCCTCCACCGACTGCCTATTTAGTGCGGCGGTGCCAGACCTCAAGTCAGGGCAAGCGTGTTTGATTTACAGTGGCTTTATGGCTTTATGTCCCCTGTTGAGCTGTTGCGCATGATTTGAGGAATTTTTATTAGCGCGACTCGCCTGTAGGCTGTAGCCTAACAATATCGCCCTCGTTCCGGTACATGATGTGTCGTGTAACTAGGACGGACCCTGTACGAGACCAAGACTCCGTCGCCTAGGCAGGTAAGTAGTTATATTAGTTGTGGTCATGTGTCAAGTACATGACATGGCACAAGCCTGTCCTCATCTCGTCTTGTGGAGAGCGACAGTTTCATGGACCGTCTGCACCTTGCCACAAGATAGTTTCCCTTTACATATGCAGATGAAATACGGCACCAAGTGTTGGCGGTGTGCAACCATCCACTCATCCATCTGCCAGTCCAAGCTGTTCCCGTCCCGGATCCTGTTACAGAGGCGCATTATCAGCATCACCTAATGCGCCGGGGTTTCTAGTCCAGGCACGAGCCGCCGGCTGCGTCATAACGTGGCTATCCGTTGCCAGCCAGCTAGCCAGCCAGCCCTGCAGGCCGACTGCAATGCTGCACGTGCCGTGACCATTTATTTTGTCTGCAAGTTTGTCCCGTAACAGGTCCATGCTATTAGTTATTAGTTATGTACCTAGGTAGTTATCAACGCATGCTCCAGCTCGCCTGGCGCGTTGTCACTGCTCGGAACCACAAAAGCCTCTGCAACGCAACTCGCAACGTCTCCCCTTCATCGCTGCTTCCTCTCCACTCTTCAATAGTGAGGCTAGGTAGTTAACAATAACTTGCCCAAACGACAAGCCATCAGCAGACGCCCCGTCCTTCAAAGCCATGTGGAAACGAGTCCAATTCAAACTGCGTAACCGCAATTGATCAAAATCAATCTACTAGTCAAGCTCCCCATCTCGCCGGCCCCTCAGGTGAGGCGGCGAACTGACCACAACTGCTGCCGAAGGGGGGCGTGGGCCCGACTTCCCAGTTATAAGAGAGAAGATATTCACCGCGTTCACTCGATTGTCAAGTCAACGACGGGGTAATAGAGAGGCACTTTATCAGGGACCCAATCTATGCCGTGGGGGCGACTCAAGACAAAGCCAAGAAACTTGACCTCCCTTGACAGACAATAACTAACTAGCGACGGCATCTTCCATCTTGACTTCCCGACTTGCCTACTCGACGTGTTGGGGCAAAGAGTCATACAACAGAACAAAGCCTAGGCCTTCATTGTGCCTCCAATTGCATCCACGCCCTATTCCTGACCAGTGTTCTTCTTATTCCTAGCGGACGCCGCTTCATCCACGCTATCCGCTTCTTCCGACGCCATTCTAGAATGGCTTTTTATTAACCGAAACAGAGCGACTTCTTTCAAACCCCATGCCGAGTGGGCTAAAGTCACACTGCCCATGCTTATTACTCGTGCAGACCAGGGGAAGAGGATGAGCTAAAAGTTGTTGTATTATACTTACTTTACTTGCTACGGCAGGTCGCCCGCAGTAACAAGAAAAAAACACAGTGTTCAACAAAGAACGAAAACGGCCTCGTAATCGCCGTCATGGAGAACAAGAAAAAAAAACGCCCTGGTCTGGCGCTGCGATGCAAAACTCTGTGCCAGCTCGTGGCGTCTGGCTCCGTTTTCTTAACTCTGCGCATTTCAATATCAGACTGTCCGCGCGCCGCGACGGGCAATGACCGAGGCCGGTGCATCAACGTTTTACTCCTCTGCTCATTGTCCTTGGCTTGATTTGAATCATGAACTTCTCTTCGGTCGCACATGAGGAGGAACCACGTACTTTACTCGCTCCATCTCAAAGGGCATTATGCCGCGTCGGCACCAATACTTGCCTCTTTTCATCAAGTAACAACTCGCATACCCGGCAAATTTTACCAATGGTCAAAACCCCAGCATAATTAACTAGTTACGGCAAGAGAAGGACGGCAACGTAATGACTTTGCTGGTGTGCAGTTGTGGGACTCTACTGATAGGCACCGGCTGTACTATTAATGGACCATCCGCTCCCCTTAGGTAACTAGTTAGCTCCTCAGTCCTCGCCCGTGCCGCCGTAACGAACAATCTACATCCGTACATACAAAGTCTGCATTTTGCGGGGATGGGAAGAGGGGGGTTGTTGGAAGGAGGGGGCAAGGGGTGTGCGCTTTTTGCCGAGAGCACTTGGTTCTTTGTGCATCATCACCCCCCCCCCCCCCAAATTTGCGTCTGACGGATGTAGGCAATGCATGTCACTGTGCCTGTATGTATATGTATAAAAAAGTTCAACAACTTCTTGTGCATCAAGCACATTGCTCACATGTGCTTCCCTCTCTCCGAGCTGTCGTGTCGTTCATTTTGCTTGCTTTTGCTATGTTCGTTTAAGCTATTCCATTGCCCAACAAGATCGGCTTTTGCCCCCCCGCCCGACCGAAGAAGGGATTGCCGTGCAAAAGACCCGTAACACATCTTGTCCAGCAACTTCTGGCGTTGCACACGCTTCTTTTTTTTTTCACCGCTCTGTGACGGCGCGCCGAAACTGAGAGGTTTTTTTGGCAAACCTTGACACGCGGCTGACAACGCCCGTACACTTGACGGCCGCTAGGAATTGGGGGCAAACGGGACCTGTTTCCATGTCGTCACTTCTCTTTTCATCCCCCCCTTCGGCTTAAGTGGTTTTTATTTTTCCCCGTTACCGACGCCGCAGGGGGGGGGCCTGGGTCGCAGCAGTCGGAAGCAAACACAACAGAGTCACACGTTTTTTTTTTCTCTGCCCTCCCTTCTCCAATCAACGTGCGTAGAAGAAAGAAAAAGGCCGACTTCCCTTGTCACAGGGCTGGTTTGAAGTCTTGGGGGGGAGCAGGGTCCCCCCCGTCCCTGAGAAAGGCGCGTTGCAAAACACTGGTAATAGGAAAGAATATAATATCAACGTAGTTTCGAAGAAAAGATGGCCGAGACCCTTCTTACGTGAGTGTATTCGTAAAAAAAAAAAACACGGTTCATTTAGTAATAATTAATTAATAGCAGAACTTTGTATATTGTTCCAGGCACACTTGGAGTAACTGGCGGGGAGGGGCGACGGCTGTCGTCAGTACCGGCCCTATTAGAGCCCCTCCCGTCCATGCAGTCGCTCGTCAACCCCGGCTTGGCCCATGTGAACTAACCAGCCAATGCAAGCAAAAAAATGGAGAAATAATAACTCATGAAAAGGAAGTACGGATAGACCACGGGAGGTTGTTGGTGAAGAGGCAGGTTGCAAAGGTTTTTCCTTTTTTTTTTCGCCTTTTCTTCTTGTGCTGCGTCACAGCAAAGATGTTGTGTGGTCGTGCAAAGAACAGAAAGGGGGCGTGTCGTTTAAAAAGAGGGGTGTGCCGGTGACGACAAGCGTTCATCTCCAAGATGTCTTACATGCACGCCCTACCACGGCCAACTATTTCTTGCCTCCTTCCTCGTATGTACCAAGAAACTCTGTTTGGACTGCAACACATGCAGCACTTGTCCCAATCATGCAATCTGGCTGGCCGCTGCCGTCGAATCGAGCCCCCTTCCCCCCCGGGCCAACAACCAGGGCGAATCGCTTGGTGCCGAAAACCCGTCCACGCTCCAGGCATCAAACACAACTTGTAGGGACACGACTTAGTTATGACGACGCAACTTTGTTCAGAGGTAATCAGGGCCCCCCATCGCCCCTGCTCAAAATTTCACTATCTGGTAGATTTATAATCAACAAAAAAAGGCTTGTAATACAAAAATGATTCTGTGGCTCTTGATTCACCCCCCAGCACAGGTAAAACTCCGTCGCGAATCCCGTGATATGCTATGCTCCTGTCCTTGTCCCATTGCCTTCTATGCCATTGTGTCCGTGATATTGCCCCCCCAAAAAAACAACGCTTGGTATCCAAAAATTAGTTGCCCCTGGCAATGTCCCAAAAATAACTAGTATGCGTATAATATTCAAGTGAGAATGTAGAAATGTCCTTCGCTTAAGCAGTGCCTGCTGCTTCATCTTCGCCTTCGGCATCCAGCCCGTCGTCCTCATCCTCGTCCTCGTCATCAGACTTGGGAGGCTCCCACGTCTCTTCAAGCTTCAATCCCTTGCCAACAGGTTCGGTGAGGCGAAAGGTCGAGCCCAGTAGAGACGTCACAGTGGAGTGGTAGTTGTTAAGTTGCGGATCCTCTTGGTGCTTCTCGGGTGTATCATACAGCCCCATGCCCACCAAGATCTCGCCTTCCTCCTCCTCTGCCGGCTCTACCTGAGGGTAGGGGGCTGGTCTCTCTTGCATGCTTTGTTGGTAATGTTGCGGCGGTTGGAGAAAGGTCTCCGGGGTAGGAGGGGAGGTCCGATTGAAGCCGTGCATAATAAAGTTGTTCCAGTCGACACCGTTGTTGCCCTGTACCTGCCCAGAAACCATATTGGATGGAAGCGAGTTGGGGAACATTTGGCACTCTTCGGTCGGTGTGTAGAGTGCACCGGGCTTTTGTGTCATGTCCCAGCCATCTGTGCCATAGTACTGTTCATTCTCCAGAGGGAAAGACGCTGGCAGTGGCGAAAAGGCCGAGGCGGGAGACGTGTTTGTCGAGTACGACTCGACCATGGGCGAATATTGAGAGCCAGCACCAAAATACATATCTTGATAGTCGGTATACATGTTTGGCGTAGAGATGGGGTTGGTGCCGGTTGTGTGTTGGAAGTTGGCCTGGGGAACGACGAGGTGCGAAGATGGATGCCAGCTTAGAGGACGGCCCTGGCTAGGCACTGCATCTTGTCTGGGAAGGCCCAGGTTCTGGGCAGTGTTGAGATAGTCTAGTACCTGTTGTTGGCGGCGAGGGTTGGTGCCATCATTCATCATGGTCCTCCTTCTGGCGGCCAAGATGGCGGATCTGGGGCTGTTGTTGGCGCTGGCTGGCTTCATCACTCGCATAGCTGTGCCAATACGTTGTCCCATGGATCCTCGCGAAAGTCGGCGGCCAGGTGCTTGGCCCATATTGAAATCATCGTAGTACATTTGTTGGGGATAGCCTGCAGCACTTTGCGGAGGCATCCCGTATACAGGATGCTGCATCATCTTGCTGTCTCGATGTTGCTGATAGATGGTCGTGGTTGATGGTGGGGGTGTATATATGGTAACCGAGGAGTGTGAGAGCTGGCTGGCGTGCAAAGGCTAGAGCTCAGTGGGAATTGCAGCGGCGTAACGGGAAGACTGTGTCGTTGATATTGTTGAAAAGGATTTCGGTCGATGTAGGAATAAGAGAAGGAAGTCTGAAGAGGAAATGGATCCAACGCGGGTTAAGTATGGTTGCAAGTTCATGGCAACGACGAGGAGGAAATAGGGCGAAATCGAAAGGGGTGTTTATTAGCTCCATGGGGAGTGAAGAACGGGACCGCAGGCAGGGGCGGGAGCTGGCAATGGTGTTCAAACAGGAAAGAGGTCGATCAAAGCCCGGCGTTAGGTTATAGAATGAATGGTTAGGTTGAACTAGTGCAACGCCAGATCCAATTTGAAGACATGCAAAACGTACACCCCATGAGGCCTTCTGGATCTTGATGTGGGTCAGAAAGCAGCCAGCCTTTGCAGCAACGAGCAGGGATCTAGTGTCTCTTTTTGCCTTTGTCGGGCGGGCTTGATGGCTTGACACCAGTGCAGCACACACTCACACTCACACAACCACACAACACACACAACACAGACTGACACACCACAGTCTGCGCCGGCCGTGCAGCGCTAGCGGGCTTCCTGTGCCTGGAGCAAGCTCGGCGGTTGGTGATGGATGTATGCATGCATGCGTCCTTGGAGTCACCAAAACGTGTGGGTGGCTAGCCTGGGGAAAGATGCCGAGTCCATGAGTCGTCGCAGGGGTGCTCGCCGCTCGGTACGGTAATACTGGGCACAACGCCCAGGCTGAGAAGGAAAGCGAGCTATTGTTGTAGCTAACTGGTTATTTGCCAACAGGGTTGGTTGGTTGGTTTTTCATTCGAGATTTGCTTCCCGGACGCTCGGATTCTCCCCCTTGGGTATCATTTTCACGGCTCAACGTTTCTGGCCCATCTGTCTCTCCATGCAGCGGACAGGCTTTCCGAGCCGCCCCTCCAGAGCCAAGGATTGCCCGTCCATGCCTGCTTCGCTCGTGTGGGCGCTGAGAAGGGGCGAGCTGCGTCATACGGGGCAGGCGTGCAAGGGGTGTCTCATCAGATGGATTCCAGGTGCAAGACCTGTTTAATGGATCAGAAGCAGAAGGGATGGAGAAGAAATAGCCTCCATCTGAGCGGCGCCAGCGCCAATACCCTGGCAACCTGGTCGGCGGAGACAGAGACAATAGCGCAGCGCCAGCCGTGTGGCGAGCTTGTGGAGCCTGGTCACCTTTTTCTTCTTATGTTAATTCCTTTTTAGCTGGCCTTGCTTTGCATCAGAACAGTCACACAGCCGCGCAGGCTTCGAGCGGCATCGTGCTTCGTCCTAATGGCACATTTGCGCGGTACGATTCAGTCCGCCTAGGCCATGTACATTATGTCAAGGGTATTCCTCTCGTGGGCAGTTTTTTTGTGATGCTCCAATCACCGAGCTGGTTCCGCTTGTTGACGCTGGAGCAGGCAGGGATTGGAAGTGGCGATCAGCTACTGGTACTTGGACCCAGCACTGGTGAGGACGACTCTAGAGTGATGTTTGCTACCGATGTCGGGAATTCGAATGATGCAACTTTTGCGTTTTCCCAATCACGTTTTGTTCTGATGGACCGGCTCAAAGCAAGTTGCAGTTCCTAGAGCAAGCAAGTCGCCTGGCAAGAAACGACGGCGTGCTTTGAGGTTAGGAGCCGGTAATCAGGCGAGTCAGATTGGAGAGGCGGGTCTCCGCTTTATTAACCGCTTGAAGCCAAGTGCAGCAGAACGAGAAAAGTCGATTAAAATCCAAAAATGACTTTCCTGATGGGCTCAAGGGATGCGGCAATGTGTTACTGGGGACACGCTACGGCGTCAGGGTAGCGGTAGCACAGACTGTGCATCAGCCATTCGCGTGCCGTGGACAAGAGGCCAGAGGGCCGAATCTGGAGGGAGGCGTGGGGAAGGGAGGGCGTGGGCCCAGACCCTGTCGAAGTTTCTTGGGAATTGAGGATTCAAACGTAACGAGGCTCGTGAGTGGGGCATCTCCAGCTCCCGGGACGAAGGTTGAAAGCAAACTGGTGCTGCGCTTGATGCCTGTCTTGTCTTGTCTTGGAGCGGGTGCGGGTGGAGAGGGAGAGACGGTGGTTGTTGCAGGGCTAACTTAACTAGTGCCACCGACTGGTGCTTGGTGTTGATGCACATCACTTTCCCTTCGCTCTTCCTTTTTGTTCCTTTCGGCTTGGTGCTGATTGATGTTGACCATCGCTCGGCCAGGCGACTACTACCCCTTCAAAAGAGGCAAAGGCGTGTGCCTCCCCACAGCCTCAATCACCCGCGACAAGGGGCATAGTGGGCGTTGGCGTAGCAAACGGAGCAGGCAAAAAAGCCGGGCCAAGCCAAGAGGGCTGTAAACGAAGCCGATCTCATCAACCTTTTTTTTTNTTTTTGGTGCCACTCGACGAGGCTTGCTCCATGCTTGCGTCTGCGACTGGGG